CAAAAAACAATAAAAAAAAGTTGTACTTTGAAAATGCAGCCAGCGCAAAGACTCGAAGTGTCAGGAGAAGCGCCGGGTCGGCTACAAGGTGCTACAGAAAACATTTGCGAAACGCGCGTTTTTCGACATTTCAGCCTCCGTAACGACACGCAACGCTTGCCGCCGTGTAACTGAACTGAAAACGCAACTGAAAAGCCAAAATTAAACAACAGAACCGATCGTTTTACACATTTTGATGGACCGTCGCGAAACGCAACGTGCACGCTGTTTGGTTGCTAATCCATGGCGCGATTGAATAGCGCTGCCTTGCGTGGATCGGTGCGGCGAATTCGCTACGAAATCCGCCAAACCCGTGGATCTTAGCTTTTTGCCTACTTGAATACCTTATTTTACCACTTTTAAGGACATGCCTTTTGACTTTCCATATTGGCCCAGATAAAAAGTTATAGAATTTACGGTTACCAATCCGAATATCTATACATAGATCTATAAAACGCGTAAATTTGGTGGTCTTGGGAAGTTAGCAAGAAACAAGTAAACTACGGTGAAAAACTCCAAAGCCTCATCGCAAAAAAGTACCAGAATAGATTTTCGGTATCTTGGTCTCAAAAGATGCACAATATTTCGTAGAACATTTTAATCTAATTTATTTTTCAATGTTTCTATGACATTTTCGAGATAAATCGTCAGTTATAGCAAATTTGGAGGAATTTTCGCTTAGTGTGGACGAATTACACGGTCTGTGGACAGTTGAGTGCGCAGAGGAGCGCCGTGTACCGATTTTCCTATCCGTGCCTTTTGGTTAGGGAATGGAATCGCGTGAGCTGATTTCCCTAGCCAACAACAATCACCACCCCCAAATGCATCTGGGGATATTCGGGGAACCCCGTGAGGTTCCTTCTTCTCGTCCTCCTCCTCGGTGCCGTCAGTCATATGACCCGATGGTGGGTCTTCTCCTTCGAGGTCCTTCTCCTCCCCCTTCGGGCCGTTGTGTATGTATGCATGCACACGGCATCCCCAATACGACCCTTCCCCCCCCTGCCTCCTCCGTTGCCGACGGCCCGGGAGCCGCTGCGAAATTTATGGAGCAAACAAGCCGCGCCCAGCCCCCCCAAGCCCCCAACCACAAATCCGTTCTTCTGCCTCGAAGGGGGGATGTTGCGAAAGTTTCGGGCTAAACTTGTTCGGGGCTGACGTTGGATAGCGCAGCTTGAAAGCCGCACGCGCAGGGATGTGCTACGTGGGCGCCTATTTACGCCTAAATGCTAGCGACCAGGCGATATGAGAGATTCAGATGGACAAACAGACCCTCATAAGCACGTGCCTTAATTTTTTCCATAGTAGGGTCCTTTCACATTATTGGGGGGGATTTAGAAATTTAGAAAGTTCAGAAATCGCTAGTTACTTATAGGAAGCATTTTACTAGTGTTTTTCGTAAAATAAAACTGCATTTGAAGCCAACGTGTCAAACTTGAGCTTGTTAAAAACTGTAAAAAATCGAAACTATGGTCAAAAACGGTAAATACAGGTTGGGAACCCTTCCGCTATTTTTAATAGAAAAATTGAATAAAAATAAAATACGTACTCCCCTCATAACCCCCCGAAAATGCGAAAGAATCAAACCTAGAAATGCCCAGTAAGTAGTTTAATAATTTTACTAAAACTTAACCGTATTTAAAATAGGAAAACTATCTAAAACCCTTTTAAAACATTTTTAATGTTGTGCCGAAAAGGTACAGAAAGTCTTTAGAAAGTGCTCGTGTTACAAACTGTTATACTAAAAATAATTATACCTTTTTACGCCCAAAAATAGCTATGAAATACGGGTTTAGCTAAAAGTCTCGCCACCACAGATGCCGGCCCAATTTTTACACTGACCAATAAGTGACTTTGATAAATTAGAACGATTCCCCGCGGCGAACTGCTAGAAAAACTGGGCCGCAACAACCACATGTGCGCCAAAGCGTGCATTTTGACGGAACATCTGGCACCCAGCGCCTTATTACAAGTTTCGAGGCATTGGGCCCCGGCCATATGGACCACAACAAATTGACTGCGGACCCCGAAATCCGGAGAGAAACGCCGAATCTGTAGAGTGCTTGGATGCTCGGTTCTGACAAAATTTGAGACGATGTTGACTGAAGTATCCTGCTGAAATGATTGATATACTGGGCATCCCAAAAAAGCATGTGGTTTCGCCGTATTACATCCGATCGGGTTCAAAATTTAATGAGGGGGTGTCAAAACCTAAGTAACCATAATACTGACCCACATCCCCATAGCTACAGTCATTTCTGAGCCATGGCCAAAATAAACTTTTTGTGCCTTTTCATGGCGTGCCTTAATGTAGCTATCGGACAACTCTGTATTGTGGTTATTTAGGGTCCGAGACACCTCTGGTCAAGTGTTGGTTTACCTTCTATCTTGGGAATTATCCCTTTTTGTTGTCCAAAATACGGAAAAATCCTTTGAGATTGAGCGATTCGAATTGGTATCATAATGTCGAAAATCATAATGTCGAAATTCATAATGTCGAAAATCATAATGTCGAAATTTCATAATGTCGAAATTTCATAATGTCGAAATTTCATAATGTCGAAATTTCATAATGTCGAAATGTCATAATGTCGAAATGTCACAATGTCGAAATTTCATAATGTCGAAATTTACATAGGCTAATTACCGGTGAAACCGCCAAATCCTAGCCAAAAAAAAATTTTCCACATTCATTTTTTTATCTTATTTCACGACAACATTTTTTGCCTAGAATTCGGGGACTGTACCGGGAATTTTAGCTTATGTAAATTTCGACATTATGACATTTCGACATTCTGACATTTCGACATTATGACATTTCGACATTATGACATTTCGACATTATGACATTTCGACATTATGAAATTTCGACATCGTGAAATTTCGACATTATGAAATTTCGACATTATGAATTTCGACATTATGAGTTTCGACATTCTGAATTTCGACATTTTGAAAATAAGCCGAGCGATTCAGATGAGATCGAAGGTATGAGTTTTTTTAGGATATTTTAATAATATTTAAAGTATTTTGAGGGTATTTGAGTACCGGAAATCCGAAATGCTACGCGAAACTACCATTCCACGGCTGTCCGCCCGGAGCTTCAGGATAAAAAGTGCTCCCTCTGTTTCGAATGGCGCGGCTGCCAGCACACAATCGGCGCGACTCTGTTGCGAGGGGCGCACCTGCCGGCACGGTAACGCCCACCGGCACGGCTGCTGGCGCTGCTGCACCGTTGCTGGCGAACCAAAACTTGGCGCGGCTGCTAGCACAGCTTCTGGCGCGGCTGCTGGCACACCTCGGGAGGGGGCAAACAGGCCAGATTTGGCACGGCTGCCGGCGCGGTACCCGGCGCGGCTGCCGGCACAGCTGTACTGCACGCGTGCCGGCAGACCACTGTCGCGGAGCCGCAACGCGCCATAACTTAGAAAAATTCGCATTTGAAAATGCATCGGCTGGCTCAAATTTTCTAAGTTTTCAACCTTGAAACAATAAATCTGATAAAACTTTGTCGTTTACAAGGTTAAAACCTTTATATCTTTGATATTAATGTATATTGCGGGGTTTAGGCGATATTTGTTTAGAAAACCACTCACGAAGGTGCAAGAATCGATGGTAAAAGGTGCGTGTTTGGTGTTTTTGTGATACTTATTTGTTTCTAGGTAACCTTCGCAGCTCGAATACTGCTCCTGGATGATTGAAGACGAGAATTATGTCTGGAGGTGGCTTCTTTGGCTAGGTTTGTGTTTAGTTTCTCCGGTTTTGGCTTCCGCTCTTCGTTTACTTCGCTTCAGTGCCAGTGACAAAGCCACGGGCGCTGAAATCTATCAAAACAGGAATTAGTACCCGAAGTGGCGCTTTTCTGACGCTGGAATTAGTTTTTCAATGTTGAGTGATCCACTAGACAAGCTGCAGAGACTGCAAGAAGAAAGTAAGTCGTTTTGAACTACTTGGGCAATCATTGAATAGAATCTAGTTACTAGGCCAACACTACAAGATGCTCGACACGTCTATCGTCAATGTTTAATCGTAAGTTCATCAAGGAAAAGAGGGGCTCCGATTTATGAACAATAGAAAACCAAAGAAACCAACTAATTTAGTTATTACTGCGGCTCCCGTTTCAACTACGCGACGGTGACGGCGAGACGCTTCAGCCACCACTTAAACGCAATAAAAAATAAGCTATGCTGTTTTTATATGCCGAAAAATAAGCGTAAGGTGCGCCGGCAGCCGTGCCGCAGCCGTTTTCGGCCCAGTTGCCGGCGCGGCGTGCCGGCAGGCGTGCCACGGCACGGTTGCGCCGCGCGACATTCGGCAGCCGCGCCGATTGTGTGCTGGCAGCCGCGCCATTCGAAACAGAGGACCGCTACGAGGTCGATTTTTTTTGGTGGGGCCGGGACTTTTGCCTTTGTTGGGTGGATTGCCGAGTTTTTTCGTTATTCGGTTCCTTAGAACTCTGCCTTACTCATGCACTTTCTGAACTTCGTTCGGGAACTGGCTGCTCCTTTGGACACTTCGCAAATACGCTCTCTCGGCAAAAATATCATGGCCTGATCTTTTCCGTCCGGCCTCGGCTGCTTCTAACTTTAGAAGTTTATAAATTTTGTTTAGCCCCTTGTAACATCGTTTGTAGTTATCACTTATATATAAATTTCTAATGTCCGTGCGCCCGTCCGTCCGCCCGCCCGCCCGTCCGACCGGATCGCTGCGGGACCCCTAGGACCGGTTCGGACGGGTCCGGGAGCCCGGGGCGTTTTGGGATTTCGGGATTTCGGTGTATGGGATGTTGATTTATTCCCCCCGGGAGGGCCAGCGCTGAACCCCCGCGGAGCGGGGGGGTCAGCGCTGGTTGATTATAGATTGTATTCCGAACTCTGTCTATTGCCGTCGACATCTAACATTAACTGCTTTCGTGTTCGTGGCCTTTCATTTCCATTAACAACCTTACACACCACCAATTTCAGATGGACGCGGAGGAACTATTGCAGCTGATAACAACAGCAAGGGACAAGGCTGGAACCGACAACCATGAAGAAACAATCGCCGCCTACACCAATGCCATCGCACAACTATCCGCCGCCGTCCCTGGCCTGCGCGGCCGAGACAAGATCAGCGCAAAGAAGGTACCTTATGCCTGGAATTTTGTTACCCGCCTTTAGTTGTGCGCGGAACTCGAGATAGAAAGGGGAATGATCGCCGACAGCCGCAATGAGTTTCTAGCCCTGTGCGACCTCGTCCGCGGCGCGAATGAAGGGCCCAGGGACCCAGGTGTCTGGTCGCCACCACCAACTGCGCTGGCCAAGAAGAACAAACCTAGAGGTATTTATTGCATCTTTTTTTAAGTTGTCTTTTCAGCTGCCGCTGCTCCGGCTAATGCGGTTTTGAATGCTTCAACGTTGGACAAGACGATCATTCCGCCCAAGCCAGATGCCCCCGAAGACGAGCTGACCAAGTTCATCGAAGATACCATCGAGACCGCTCCAGCGAGACAGTCAATAGACGATATTCAAGGCTGTGATGAAGTGAAGAAGGCGTTGAAGATGAAGTTCGTCCTTGCACCAATGCACCCCGAATTTTTCAAGGTAGTATGAAAAGTTTATAAGCATAGTTAGTTTTTAGGGTATCCGCCGACCCCCGACTTCGATGCTTCTCTACGGGCCACCGGGTACCGGGAAGACAAGCATTGCAAGCACAATCACAACGTTCGCCGAAGTGACGTATTTCAATGTGCCGTTCTCTACTCTCTTATCGAAATGGCGTGGAGAGAGCGAAAAACTTGTGTCGACTTTGTTTAAAATGGTAATTGACAATTCTTGATTTTACTCTCCTGTTCAGGCGACAGAGCGAGAACCGTCGGTGGTCTTCATCGACGAAGTTGATTCAATCGGGACTGTGCGTGGCTCAAGTCAAGAGCACGAGGCCAGCCGTCGTCTAAAATGCGCGCTTCTCCGCAGCTTTGACGAGATCACTCAGGGCGGCTTCGATGTTTACGTTATCGGATGTACAAACACTCCATGGGATCTCGGTACCCTCCTTTTATCTTTTAATATATTTCTTTAGATACCGCGCTGCTCAGGCGATTTGAGAGCAAGTATTACGTCGCGTTGCCGACAATCGAAATCATCCAAAAGATGATCACCAAAGCTCTCGCAGAGGTTTGTAAAAGATTTTCAATCTTTAATGTGTTCTCAGGTGCCACTCGACAAAGATCTTTCTTTGGAAGAGCTGGCTGGCTGTCTCTATGGCCGCTCGGGAGCCGAGATCTACACTTGCTGCCGCGCTGCCGTCAACCTCGCCTTTGCCTCCATTTCGCCCGAAGATTTCACGGACCTATCAGCCTCGATCTTGAACAAACCGATCGGCTGGGACGAGTTCCGCACCGCCATGCGTTCGAACCCTCCATCTGCGACAGAAGCCATCCTGAAGCGATACCAAGAATGGCAGAATCCTACCTGATCTCGCACGTCTAAACACATTGATTCCTCTGTGCATTGCAGTGATATAATTTCTCACTTTACGGGTTTATACTGATAAAATTATGGCCACCACGTTTCTCAAGAATTGTCACAGTTAGTGACGCGCATATTTATCGTGTCTGCGTCTTTTTGTAAGGTGTTTTGGTTGGAGCCAATCACACTAGTTCTAAATGTGTTGCTAGGATGAGCATTGCTGAACAGCCCGGTTGCAGCAATTCCGGCCGGGGGATTACTGTGAATCGACAGCGACAAGAGGGAAATCCCGTTTTGAAGTGGGGTTTCCGAATATTGGTGTTTATGTTTTAGGTATGTGCGAAACGTTCGATTCGAATGGGGCGATATACCGGTCGATTTTGAAGTTGGCCGTGACTGCGGTGTCTTATATCTGGCATTGACGGTATGCCGTTATATTTTTAGCCAATCGCTTTTAAGTACCATCGGAAACAACCACATTATATCCATTCGCGCATCGATCCACATACCAAGTACAATTATGCCCTGAAGGTACCTTGACATCTACGGTGATCAAATTATAGGTGCTACTAGTTTTAATCAACGTGGAAGATCCCAGGCACATGCTCTGGGAGCTGAATAGACTGTGTGCGACAAGCCAGTGGACGCTGATCTTATGCTATAGCGGTGTGTTTCTTTCATTTATGAGTGATCACCTGTTTTCAGTCGAAGAAGCAGCAGAATACCTTGAGAATTTGAAGCTATCAGAAAATCGCGATCCTAGCTATCAGAGCAAGTAAGCATGTTTTTCCTAAACCATTTTTGGTTTTAGAAAGGGACCGGTGCCAAAGGATGAGCGAGAGCGTCTACTCAATGCCGCAATTGGCGTCCTTACGGGTGCGCGCAGCGTGACGAAGACCGATGCCAAGCATTTACTCGCGACTTTCGGGTCATTGAGGTAATATTTTACCTGTTTGCGATGAGTCGAATTTAGTGAAATCGCGAAAGCTACGGAAGAGCAACTGGCACTTTGTCCCGGCCTGGGGCCGATCCGCGCGAAGAACCTTCACACATATCTACGTACAAACCTACGGAACCAGTTATTTAAACCCCATTGAATAAATTTATACATGCTGGAGAAATGCTTTACAGCGTTACGGTTTCAGGGCCGATAATTCCTATTTTGCTGGCGTTGATATTCAACTTTTCGGCGCTTTAGGATGTCTGACGTACCACAGGACGCGAACGCCGGCTGCCCGGGCACCGGCAGCGAGCAAGCGGGAAAGGTCTTTTGCTTTTAAACAATTTTTGTATTAAATTCCTGTAGACAAGTGGCTGCGCCGGTTGTCCGAATCAGGGATCCTGTGCAACTGGCCAGGGGCCAAAGCCGGATGAAGGTACTACTTTGATATCGTCCTTACATATCGGCTTAGATGTACCCAAGATCGCCGAACGTTTCTCGAAAATTCGCCACAAGATTCTGATCCTTTCTGGGAAGGGCGGCGTCGGAAAAAGCACGCTGACCGCCTCACTGGCTAGGGCCCTGGCTGAAGATACGAACAAACAGGTGAGTTTCGTGATTTTATAATTCCTAAAATTCAAAATGTCATCTAAGCGATTTTTTTATAATTTTCAAAAAATGCTTATTGCCAGGTCGCCGTTCTCGACATCGATATCTGCGGACCTTCACAGCCACGAATGTTTGGAGCCGAGAATGAAACTGTGCACGACAGCGCTAGCGGGTATATAACTATTGTTGTTTTTATTTTCTTTAGATGGTCACCCGTATCTGTTCGCGACAATCTGCAGCTGATGTCCATCGCTTTTCTCCTTGGTCGGTGTCTACTATCCGCTATTATTTCATCATTTTCAGGTGAAAAAGATCAAGCGGTTATCTGGCGCGGTGCTCGCAAGAACGGCATGATCAAGCAGTTCTTGCGCGACGTCGATTGGGGAGAGGTTCGATTGTCGGTATTTTTCATTTTTATTTTCAGGTGGATTATCTGTTGATTGACACGCCCCCGGGTACCTCCGATGAGCACATTTCGGTCGTTCAATTCCTTCTGCAGGTAGAAAATGTCAAGTGAATTATATTATTTTTTTGCAGGCCGGGCCGTTGGATGGGGCTGTTATTGTCACGACCCCGCAGGAAGTGGCTCTACTGGACGTCAGAAAAGAGGTAATCCTTACTTCGAATCGCAAATAAGCTGAAACCTAGGTCAATTTTTGCACAAAGACGAAGGTGCCGATAATTGGAGTCGTCGAGAATATGTCAAGCTTTGTCTGCCCGCACTGCAAACACTCGACCGTCCTCTTCCCAAGCAGCACAGGTGTGGCTAATAATATATTGTCAATTCTTTCTCTTATAGGTGGCGCCACTGAGATGTGCAACGTTGGCAAGATGGAGCTGCTAGCACAACTTCCACTCGACCCTAGCCTGGCCAAGTGCGTTGATTTTTCGTTGAAAATACGGAAACCTTTTAGATGCCTCGACGAAGGTGCCGATTTCTTTGAAGAGCACCCCGATTCGCCCATGGTCACCGCATTCAGCAATCTGGCCAAGAAGCTGACGGACAAGATTTCCGGAAACTGATTCACATGTGATTTTCGTGCATTTCTGGTTGTGGTTCGCTCAAGTAGTATTTGCCAGTTTTCATCTTGTTGACAGAAATAAATAGGGTGCCCTCGACATTGTTTATCATGAAACGGCTGAGTTGTTAGCATACATATTTTTGAAGCAAGCGCGAGAACGGTATACGAATGATTAGGCGAATCAGATGAGGCATCGAGTGGTCATCACGGCCATGGGGTGCCTGACGCCTTTTGGAAGGGGAAAAGCCGCGCTTTGGTCAGGGTTGAGTGAGGGCAGGTATGTCTTGAAAGAAGCTTCAGTTCATTGAATATTTAGATCGGCGTTGAGGCACAATGCTCAACTTGGATTCGTCGTCGGGCAAATCGCTGAAGAAACGCCGGGCTTTCAAAGGTGGACGCCCGGGCAACGGCGAGAAATGAGTAGAACAAGTCAGCTGGCGCTATTGGCTGCCGAAGAGGTATTCTAGGCCGAACGGCTAGCAATCCTCTATCTTTTGTCGTCATTAATAATTTTAGTGTCTCGAACAAGCCGGATTCGACGATTCTTTCGACCACACGGAGACGCTGGTAAATGTGGGAACTGGAGTTGCAGACCTGGAACACATTGGCGAGGCGACGAAACTGGTAGTCTTGGCTTCTATTGCCTTCATTTATCCGATTCCGCCAGATTGCTAGCGGGCAAGCCCGTCGAGTCTCACCATACTTTGTGCCGAGAATCCTCAACAATCTACCGACAGGCTACATTTGCATGAAGTAAATTCTAGCGCGTATCGGAGTTTCGTATAGCGTTCAGATTCAGGTGTAATTCGGCTTTTTCCTCACCTCGAAGAATTAAACCCCCATTTTGCAGATACGGTATGAAGGGCGGCGCGGAGAGCGCTGCGACGGCATGTGCTACGGGCGTACATTGCATCGGCAGTGCCTTCCGCTCGATACGTCACGGATACTCGAGACGTGCGCTGGCCGGCGGGTCTGAGGCCGCCGTCACTCAACTGGGCCTCATCGGCTTCGATAGGTATCCATTGAAAAAGTGCTCTGTAAAGCATGATTGTGTAGAATGCGAGCCCTGGCCCGTGGCGACGATCCCACGATCTCGTGCCCCTTTGACAACGGCAGAAGCGGGTTCGTAATGGCTGAAGGTGCAGGGATATTGATGCTGGAAAGGTGAGCCCGCTAGTTCCAATTTTGTGACCGTGATTTTTGAAAGGCTGGAAGATGCGCAAGAACGTGGTGCTGCAATACTTGCTGAAATTGAGGGCTATGGTTGGTCACCGTTTCTTGGCTCTATAATTTATTTTGAGGGGTCTCTTCTGACTGTTATCACATCTCATCACCGGACCCAAGCGGCATTGGGGCACGGCTCAGCATGGAAAGAGCGTTAGAAGACTCTGGGTGCGTAATCAGAATTGAAGATTTCTTGATTTTGTGGACGCCATGAACTCGCTGGAACGCCAAAAAACGAAACCCGCGTTTTTAGGGCCTCCACCGCCGAAATCGGCTACGTGAACGCCCATGCTACTTCAACACCAACAGGTGATGGCATCGAGGCCAAAGCCGTCGGTGACGTCTTCAAAGCAAATCCCGTGACCGTCAGCAGTATAAAAGGTCGGCACCTTTACAGTTACCTTTAATTTCGAATTCAGGCCATCTTGGGCATCTACTGGCCGCAGCCGGCGCTGTCGAATCGATCGCTACGGTTCTGTCGATGAACAACCGGTTGATCCCCGGGAATCTGAACTTGAACAAAACAGATTTGACAACGGAGATAGTTAGGTTCGTGGTTTCTCGTATTCTAATACGTTATTCTCAGAATACCAAATACCAACGTACAATGGAACGATCTGCCTTCGAAAGCTATCGTCAATTCTTTTGGCTTTGGCGGCACCAACGCTACGCTCATTCTTTCCCCGGTTAAACAATCATTTTGAGATCTTCGACATCTGCGATTTCAAACTCATTTTATTATAAAAACTTCTTATATAAAACGAGAAACAATGAACCAAAGGTGCGTCAGTGAGAAAAATACAACAACAGATAACATTCATTAAAAGTCACAGGTTTAAACAATGAAAAGCAAAACTATGTTAGTGCCCATCAACACGCTAATTAGACTAATATTTACGAGAGAAAATTGTGGGTCACAGGAAAAGACAAGTCTTCTAAAGCCTTTTAAAGTCAAGCCAGTCGTCCCCATCGTTAGACGGCTGTTTTCGCGGATGTCGATGAGAACTGCTGGGCACTTCGTCGTAGTCGTCTCCCTATTCAAGCGAATTCAAAATAATTTGAAGGTGATTACCGGAAAGATATTTGCCATGTCGCGGTAGCGCTTGTTTGAGTTGCCGAGAAAATCCGGCTGTTTCGGTGTCCTGGATAGCACATCGCGACCTACGCCCGATAAATCGAGAATTTTTGATAAGTCATACCGCCAAAATCATCCCCACGATCCCCAGCGTCCATCGTTTCGTCGAAGTCGAAAGGCTCGAGGTCGACGGGAGCAGGATCACTAAACATAATTTTGAACTAAAGGGAAATCTAGAAACCTGTTATCCATCACATTGTCAAAGTCCTGGGAATCGTTGTGATCGGGGGTCAGATGGAAGAGATCGCTCTAAACTCAGAATTAAAAATAATATTCATCACGATGCAAAAACCTCGCTTGGGGCGACGCGGAATGGGCTGGAATGGTCGTATGAGGCGAAATCTTGATTTTGATCGAATTGTGCGTCGTCGTGGGCAGAAGAAGCTTGCGTGCCTGAAATTATCAATAAAAGAACGCTAAACACAAAACGATAATTTCGTCGACTTGAACTGAAACCAGAGCTGAACCTCATTTGAAAACTATACCTAATTCATGGTCATCCAAATGTAATGCGCGGATCGTCTCATTGAATGCTTTTTCGACCTGCGGCGTCGAGCCAATGTCTCCATACCGTCCGGCCTCTGGCGTCCCTGGCGTACCCGGCGTACTAAAGCACTTTGTGGGAATGAAACGAGCATTATTACCTTGGTGAACCGAACAGATCCGCTTCGTCGAGACTAAATACAATTAGTGCACGAAAAATGGGACATACGTTTGATTTACTATGCCTTGAGCTGCCAGCTGGTCTTCTTCATCAAAAACATTTTCGCCACGTTCCGCCAAGAAGTCACTGCAAAGATTTTTAGGCGATATATAGAAAATTACCATTCATCATCCTCATCCAGCTCAAACAACGATGTTTTGTCGTGCATTTCGGTGGATGCAGACTAAAGGGGATTGAATCCACCACTAAAAGCCTACTTTGTACAAGTTCTCTCCCCACATTCGGAGTTCAGCATTCGACAAACGCTCGTCGATCATCCCCGTACAGGTGTCAATATAGCTAAAGAATATGGCATTTGCAAGACAAAGAAATCGGACCTGCTGCCACGTCTAGCCTCGACTAGTGGAAGATATGGGACATGCGTCACGATTCGTCTAGCCACTTGCGCCGGATCGAAGTAGAACAAGTCGCTTCTGGAAGCATGAAAATTAGGATACGATGGAAGCGTGAGGATCGTAACAATAAATAGTTTGTTCAAAAAAATACCCCTGATAACCAAAGTCAGTCGTCTTGCACCCAACTCGCGCTGGCGTAGGTGGAAGAATCGCATTGGGAGCCCGGTCCCCAAGCTCGAGGGAGAACTGCTGACGTGGAGTCATGTATGGATCCGATTCTATAACAAAGAATAATAAATGTACTAAAAAAAGCAACCTGGGGAGCGCGTGCTGGAGAATTGAGAAGTGCCGGGAGTGCGGTAAGCTGGTAGTGGACTGAAAAAAATATTAATTTCCAAAATGAAAGCGAAAAAACCTCTTCACTTTTTCAGCTGGTGGTAGCTTCTTCATGAACGCCGCCATCCGGCTCTTCAAAGCTGAAAAATATAGTCAGAGTTTAAAACCACCCAAAAATTATACCTTCAACCTGATCGACCGTCGGAAGTTGCTTCGTCGTTTGGCTTGGCTCCTTCCTATTCTTGCTGCTGATTCTGGGGCGATCTAAGATTCGGCTGATGACAAGGGAAAGCTAAACAAAGTCAACCTTCACTATGTGATGAGAGTTCCGACTCTGGATCACTCTCCGCTTGTCGGTGCCTATTTGAGCGCGATTCGGCATGTTTTTCGTGTTCCCGACGGTACTTTGTGTTCGACGAGTTCGCACGACTTGGCTTTATTCTAAAAAAACTAAAGCCGACTGAGAGAAAATACCCTCGAGTGGGGTGCGATGAAGGTCCGGGCAACCCATTTCGCATCAAATCGAAACGCTCTTCCTCAAGCGCCACTTGCATGTCTTCGAGTTTATCGACCTAAGCAACCAAATGTTGGGCAAAATTGCTCTCATTCTCACCTCATCTTCCCAGTTTATCGGTTGACTCTCTTTGAGTTTAATGATCTTTCGGGCAATGGCTTGGGCTCTTGTCTACAACCAAATATCATGCAACAGAAAAGAATCTTACATTTACAGTTTGAAGCTCATCGCAACTCGGAGCCGAATGTTGTTGTCCATAGTTGAGATGTGACTTTGAGGGAAATCGCGAGCTACGCCCTTCGCTAAATGAAAAGTTTAAGTGTGGCGGGGGGAAAAAGTACCACATCATCCCTTCCAAACGATCGTCTAGATCATTTCTCGGCTTTTCACACATGTAGCGGCGATGAAGCTTTACAGGCGGGGATTGCGAGCTCGGGCCGGATCCGTGTCCGCCCCATCCGTCGACCTGGGTGCGCATCCGCTTCTGCACCTTCTCTCGTTTTGCTGCCGCCTCTTCATCGTCTATAAAAAGATAATGTATCCATCCGAGCCCACGAAAACTCATCTACGGCTTGCGCATTATCGGGGAGGAGAGTTTATCGTGGCGAAGACCGACTTTTTCATTAGATTCCAATTTTTCTAATACAAATGGAGGAACTGTTTTGACGGCTTTCTACTATTGCTAAGGCTACAAATTCCTGAAAAAAAAATACAACAGAATATCTATTTTCTGGGCACAACTCCAAACTTTTCGAAGTTTTAGATATTTTACATTTGAAAATTAGCTAGATTTACGAAAAACACTTAAAATCGTTTGAATTACGTCACTAGGCATTTCAGAAATTCTAGGAAAAGCCCCCGCCCGGATAATTAGAAAGAACCACCCACCAGAACTATATTCAGCGGCTTCACGACGAGATCGCCCACCGGCCATGTTGCGATGAGGGGCCTGTCGCACGTAGTTTATCCCGCTAAACAAAAATTAGTCGGAGAAAAGATAGAACCTTCTGCCCATGCCCGTGCGAGTGGTGCCCGGTTTTGAGGTTCGCCGCTGAGGGTGAGGGACCCGGGATTCGAAGGGCACCCATTTCCCAACACCGGTCGGGAAGAATGTCCGGCGAGACATCACTGAACAAGGTTTAAAGAAACAGGAATAAGTTACGCTGCGTGTGGCGCGAGACAAAAATTTCTAGGAAGCTCATAGTCGTGAGGCCCTCTAGGGGCAGTAGAAAACGAGAAGTCTTTTACAAGGATAATACTGCAAAATAATCAAGACAAACAAAAAGGTAATAAAATGGGAAAAAACTAAAAGCCAATTTCCTGCTGTACGTCAGTGTACTCTTCCGCAGTTTATGGTGCGTACACTGGAGCGTGGTGTCGTGCCCTTTCTCCAAGATCGAATTTTTTATTTTGAAGTGAAAGGACTTGAGAAACTTTAGGATATCGTTTTCATTGAACTTAGTAAATTCTAGCTAAATTTCTCGGTACTTATCAAGTTGGGGGGCCACTTTGGTTTTAGACTTTTTGAGTCTTTCTAGGCTAGTCGTTTTGTGCTGGTTTCGGATATAACAAAATCAGAGTAGTAAAACACAATTATTTAAACGTTTTTAAGATTTAGAGATGCTTACACCCAATTTGAGCCTAAAAATAAGGCTTCGTGCCACCCGGGGCCTAGTCGCTTCGGATGGGTGCGAGCGCGTACAGGGTTTGAAATCGGGGCGCCCGAGCAGCGCGAAGCGCCCAGGCACCCCGATTTCGGAAGAGTGGAGCGGCAGCCCATCCGAAGCGACGGCCCACCTTGCCTGACAAAGTGGCAAGCCTAAAATTGTGCATAAGTACACCTTTTATTAATAAACTTTTAGACTGTTTTCCTGGATAAACCCAAACCCCAATTTGATAAGTACCAATTTCTCTTCCAAAAAATCTTCATGCTTCTTGCTAAAGAAGCTTCAAGACTGAAGAAACTTTTATAGAAGTGTTTCTGTTTGGAGTTCAGTATCTTTGGTTCCGTCAATGTCTATTACGCATCTCGCCTAGATTCCGCTCAACAAGTCTTCTTTGGCGGCCGCAGAAATAAGAGTTTACTCGATATCTCTATTGTTCTCTTTGTTTTTCTTCGTCTTTCTTTGTAATCTTCTTTTTCAGTTGATGAATGGAGCCACATGAATTGGTTCGATTGGTGGCCGAACCCTATTTCAAGGAAAACTATGGTCGCGAATGCAGCTTGTGTATGGAGCCATACGATTCAGGAGATCGAACCCCGATCGTATGTTGCTGATTTTACTCATAACTCTTGTTTAGCACATTTGCCCGTTTTCCGAGAAGCACGTCGCCTGCTACCAATGCACCAAATTGATTCTGAAGCCCCAGGATGGACCACCTTGCCCATTCTGCCGTTCCAAGCTGCCCTATCGCCATGCCGAAGAATACCCGGTGGCCAAGGCACTACTTCATTGTAAATTTATTTTTTTTCGAAAATAGTTTTTCTTTTAGATTTGAGCAAAACTGAAAAGGAGGATGAGCCATGGCAACCCACAGAGCACGATTCAAAAGAGGTATCTATTAACTCGCTGCAGATATCATCTGTTTTAGCTGCTGCTATTCGGTAGACGGTGCAGCGGCAACGGGTGTAAACGGTCCCTGTCCCCGGCGCATTGCCAACCAGCCGTCTGCATCCCCTGCCACGGAATGTCCCAAAATATCTTTAAGTCATGGGCACAAGTCTACGAGCTGTCTGAAAAGGTATCTTACAGAAAGTTTAACTTATTGTTCCGCCTAGGGAATGTTCTGTCACGGTTGTATCCATGAACACATGAAGGAACATTCTAATCCCGGATATATAGCAGTTCAATTACTCGATGGTGAGTCTGATTTTGGAGGCCTATTTTATTTTTAGCCATGGCCGCTTCGGGTACGAACTATTTGCAAGTATTCATGGAAAATGGCATCATCTCAATAATCAACAACAAGTCTCCTCGGGAATGGGAATTCAACGAGCTGATCGTCTACCAATTCTTCCTCGGACAATTGCTCTAGTACGGGTTCACACTTTTTTGGATATTTTGCTTAGCAAAACAAAACAGTCGATGGACCCAGTCAAGTTCAACGGTTTCATCCGTGAGCTAATGGTATGGTCTTTCGCTTTAAGTTATACGCTTCATTTAGGAAACTATTGAAAAAACGACCTATTTCTCGGAGGTGTTCATGTATGACTGTTCGTTGCCTGCCGGGTTCTACAGCGAATTTTGCCGTTTTCTCGACTGTGTGGTGGAACTCGTGAACTTCTATGGAATAGCCAGTGAGGCCAATCGCTATACTCGGGCCTGGGCGCAAAAGTTAATGCTACATCCAAATGAGTCGCTGCGAAACTGGGGATATGAGCACATTTCCAAAACGGTAAGAGCTTTGCCGGTAACCTCTATCAAAATTTAGACCGGAAAAAGCATGGTGCCGCCACAATTCCTCGAAATTTTGGATGGAAATATCGAGGTATAATTATTTCAAGATCCACGGTCTATTCTGTGTTTCAGATTGATGCGCTGTTGGGCTTCTTGACGATTGAGCCCGATGAAATGTCGAAGGCGGAACGGAGCAAACTGATTAGAAAGGTAATTTTCACATTTGTGCATCAATGTGTTTTTTTCAGTCGTATGGCCTAATCATGGAGACGGCACTGCTCCCTGGTCAGAAGCCCAACAAGCTAGCTTATGATAATCGGCGCGTCATTCACCAGCTAATCGATCAATTTGTTGAAAAAGCCATTTTCCACAATGAGCGCGTATCATCTGGATGACTCAATAGTTGTCGCTCCCCTTTGCTACTAATGTGCTAAATTCCCCACTGTGATATACTTGGCACTAAGCTTTTTTCTGAATTTTTGTCTGAATTTTTTGGCTGCCGATGGCATTGGACCTCCCCTTGATTTGTGAGTTTCGTAATTTGTCATCTTGTGAAAAGTAAAACACCTGAATAAAAAGTTTATTGTGATCTCGGTGCCTTTAGAAAAAATCAGGGAAAGCGGCCGCCACCGCCTAACAGTGCGGCAATAGCGTCTTGTGTGCTGTCCCTAAAAAGAACTGACTGCGGTAGAAGGCTTGTGAATTACCAGTCATCTTCCTGCCGCGGTGCGCCGTGAGCTTGATTGTTGCCGTGTTGGTAGTAGGGTTGCTCATCTAAAACCAGGTTATTATCATTATTATCCTAAGCCACTGACGTATATTATCGAGCCCAAATGGTACTCGACTGTTAGCGCGCGGGCGGGAGTTCCCAATTTTTCAAAAAATTTGAATCCTCAAAATCATGGAAATTTAAAATCGCTCTTGGACCAAAAATTGATCATTTTCGACATTTTTTAGTCCTTCTAAACCGCTTCCTATACTTAAAAACGGCCTTGCATATATTCTGGACCAAAAGCCACCAACTTTCGGCATTTTTAATCCGTTTAATCATCTTCCTATACTCAAAAACGGCCTCAAAAGCTACCGCAATGGTGTATATTTAATTACTGCAGCCGATCAGGGCGATATGCCGAAATTAGGTCATCCAGCCAACAGCCCAGCATTTCCCAAATCAAACCGTACCAACGGGCTCCTGCTTGATCGGTCTCCCCGGATGATGCCTCGGCTCTGGGCATTCACTATGCGAGCTTTGATGTGGAGGAGGCCGATACCACTCTTCTTCAGTACTACCTAGAAAGAAAAGTTCCTTTCCAATAAAAGTGCATACTGTTCTGACTTGACCGCCACGTGTCCTCCTGGTATTGGTGCTGCGGCTTCATACGGTGATCTGCAGGATGCGGACCTGATCCATAGCCACAGTCCTCTCCATTCCTAAGCACGTTCTTGCAGATCATGATTAAATTACCATCCCGTATCACTACGATTCCACGAGTCTCGAGGAGGCGGTCCTTGTCTAGGTGGATTCATCCTCGGTGGCGGGAAATCTAGGTTATATTTCTACTAGTGGTTTGGAGAAGCATACTTGGTCCAGACGACGACTGAGGCATCGGCGTGAATCTAGGCGGTGGGCCGTCCGGTTGCCGATAGGTAGGAGGAAATCGGCGTGCGCCTAAAAGCGCCAGAGGTTTTGGTTCGTTGTCGAGGGATATCGGTGGACAGGATTTTTTATAATGTTCGGTAGACGCACTACGACCTTAGAAATGATTATAATAGCATGTCACTAGCTTTTTCGATGCCACAAAGGCAGTTGGCTCTTACACAAAAATCTGTTAGTAATAAGAGAGACCGGGAAAATTAAAGATTTTCAAAAATGCAAAATTACCTGGCCCTGGCGGCGGTCCACGTCCCCGCATGAAGCCTCCGCGTTGTCCGCGTGGCGGCGGGAAACCCCGAGCCGGAGGGGGTGAGAAGCCACGCCCGGCCGGTGGAGGTGGGCGACGCTTGTTGGGTGGAGAACTTCGGCGTGGCGGTGGGTTCCGGGGAATCGCTTCTAAAAAACAGGAATTACCAACGCGAAGAGCGAGAAACTACCTGCATCGTGGACAGGCCCGTTTATCAAAGGGCCACGGTGCGCACGGGTTAATTGAGGAGGGCCCGGAGCCTGTGAAATGGTTGGACCCTGGAAATCGGATGTTGAAATAAAGCGAATGTCGTTATATATCAAAATGAGAGTAGATCATCAAAATAACGCACCCGCCCATCAGGGTGCGCAAGGAGGCCAGGTCGATTGCTGAGAGGAGCTAAAAACATAATTCCAACATTGGAAGAAGATTATCTTACGTTCTGGCGAATCTGGAGAATCATCGCCAATAGGTCGCTTTCGCTGTGAAGGATGCGGCTTGAGGACGCGGCCACTAAAAAGTAGAGTTGATGATTAAAATTACATTAATTATGGAGCCGTTTCGCCACTTTTGATTTTTTCTAAATAGCCACTTCGTAGAAGTAATCTCTTATCGAGATTTTTTTGTATTTTCCGTGCTCAAAACAATTTTTTGTCCTAGACGGTTTGTGGTGTTCGTTAGAGCCATTGTGCTGTAAACATTATGTATTGTTTGTGTACAAAATGTGCTGATAAATCCCGGCATACTAGATATAGATAAAATGGCGAAAATCAAACACGTCTAAAAACTCGGCGGAAAACCCCCGTACTCTTCGCCGACAATCTCGGCCATCTTGTCGAGCACCGCCTGGGGAATGGCCGGAATCGCACCCTGAATAGAGATAAATTAAATTTTATATATCGCAATACCGTGCTCCGCATGTCATAAGGGATGAATGCGCCAGGCCGCAGCACTCGCCCATAACCCGTCAGGAACGGTTGAACCTAAACGTTTGTATAAAAAAGAAGACATTCACCGGAATCGGGGCATTTTGTGCTAGACTAGGTACGTGATAGTGGGCGCCTAATTATGCAGAGTGAAAGGGAGAGAGAGAGAGAGAGAGAGAGAGAGAGAGAGAGAGAGAGAAAGAGCGAAAGAGAGTGACGCAAAGGTAACTAGGCGTCGACGTAGTCCGTGCCTGAAAGGCCAGAAAGCCCAGAATAAAAACTCGCTCAGCCATCTTCAATAATTTAACCGCAACGCCACCAACGGGGTCAATAAAATCCAACAGCGTGCGTACGCATCGCGTGTCGCGGTCCGAAAACAACGAAAAATCGGGAACAAAACGAACCATAAGCTTCTGCTCAAAATCCTCGTCAATCGGCGTGACGACGGCCGGCTTGAACAACGGCCTGAAAACGGGGTTAGCCAGAATGAACTCATGGCTCCGTACTGCTCGTTGACATCGAGATACTTCAGCGTGACGCGCGGCACGATCACGGGGGTTGTTGGCGCTGGTGGGGATGGTGTCACCGGCTAAAGGTGAGGGTAAATGACTTATGGTTTGCGAAAAAATAACAATATGCTTACATTAGCCAACGACATGGGGAAAAGAGGGGTTTTAACGAACGGAGCAGGATTTTGATGAGATAATAATTTCGTCTATTTGAGTGAGTTTCGACGAATTGAGAGGGGATCTTTTGGTCGAAAAACGCGATTTTCAACGAATTCAGGGGAATTTTTGATCGAAAAAGCTAGTTTGAACGAATTAAGAGGAATTTTTGAACGGGAAAGCTGGGTTTCGACGAATTGAGAGGAATTTTTGATCGCAAAAAAGATAGTTTCAACGAATTCGGGGATTTTTTTTATCGAAAAAGGTGGGTTTCGACGAATGCAGAGGATTATCTTCAAAAAAATGTGGGTTTTGAAGAACTTTTAGACACCCGTGAAACACCAATAATTCAAAAAAAATCACTAAAAAATGTAATTTATGCGTAAAATAAATGTGCAACGTTCTTTTCCAGCCAAAAATCGATGGCTGTTATTCCTATTCCAGTCATAAGAGCCTGCAAAATCGCTGTTCTGTCAGAAAACGACTGCGTTCCAATGATGTTACCAAAAAAACAAGCTCAACGTTATTGGATAGTCTTTCTGTCTTTCTATAAGAACATGCCGATGCTGAAAAACGCAGGCTAAAGGGCTTTACCAGACTTTTTAAGGTTTGAAATTACCGACCGGTTGAGGCACAGGCTCTTCGGGGGTTTCAGTCACTTCCTCTTGGTTGTCGTACATCGCCAGTAGTCGCTGCACTTTCAAGGCTGAAAAGCAGATTTGTAACGTTTTAGCGAAAATTGATTAGCCAGCGATCGATTACGCCGAAATTTCGATATGTCTAAATGCCTAAGAACACGCACAATTTTCATTATATCGAAAGATTTGGTTGGGACGTCGGGCTTTTTTGGCCTGGGAATTGGTTAAATCGGCGAGTTAAAATTGCGACATAATGCCATCTCGACTTAACGGGATTACGGTTTAATATCGATTTGCTCTCATAATGTCGATAAGCATAATTCCGTCATTTTAAAGTAACCCATAAATTTCAGCGTAGTGTATTTTTGAATTATGAAATTTCGATAGGTCGAAATGTTATAAAGGCAGATCGTAAAGACGATGATTCAAAAACTAACCGGCTAACGTCTTTGGATCGATAATTTGCCCGTTCTCGTCTCTTTCTTGTTCGTCTTCTTCCTCCTCCTCATCATCTTCATCATCATCATCGACGTCTTCCGTAATTTGACAGGTGGGAGGTGCCGGGTTTGCTGTTGTCCCTTGGAATGACCCAAATCCAGCGTATCCTAAAGCCAAGTTCTGGATATCACTATGAAAAGTACCCTTTGTCGGTTGAGGATTGATAGGGATCGAATAGGTGACGCGTTGGCCCTCCACAGACTAAAAAACACAAAATTAAATCAGGAATCCAATTAACCTTGAGTACATTGGCCGACGCTTCAGGTGGTGCCATTTGATACGGTATACTAAAAAAGAAGCTCATTAGATAAATAAAAGGCTCGAGATATACCCAGAACTGGAAGGTGGCATTGTCATTGGTGCTGTGTAGGGGATTTGGGGTTGGCCTGAAATTTTTATTTATTAGAAAAAATATGAAAAAAATACCGGGATATCCATATGGCTGGTTGATCGGTGGGCCAGAATACGGGGGGCCATTCATCCCCGGGAGAAGCCGTTATACCTAAATTCGCCATTTAACATACAGTTCATCATAACGAACCGGAAAAACCTGGCTAGAACGAAAACTTTTGAATCTTTATCTGATCTCCGAAAAAACGGATTTTACACACAAGAAAACTTTTTAGTGGCAATCGCCTGGTTTTCACTCGGGAACAAGCCTGTCTTCTGCAGATTTTGTGCTGATCCTGAATATGTTTGCAAAACTACAAGCTTAAAGCTAGGAGCCTTTTAAGTGCTGAAAATGCCTAAAATGGCCGAATTTCGATATTTGCCTTTTTCGCATTGAAAAACTTCATAAATTTCCTGTCCCGTCCGGTTCGCCGCTTTTGAAATCAGATTCGGAATTGGCACAGAAATTTGCACAAGTTAGGCTTTGACCCGTACGGAAATACGATTTTTAAATTTTTAAAAACCGTCTCCTTGTCAATAACGCTTACAACCCCCGTGTAAATATGACATCGTATTCCTCCTTACGATTTCCTTTCCTAATTAGTGCCAAGTTCATACAAAAACATCCTTTATCGTACCAGTAAATCCAATGACCAGCCAAAACAATCAAAACACGAATGATGAGATCGACGACGTGAGAAGGTAACAATAAAAGAACGGTCGAAGCATATATATAACCAATAAAACAACTTCGAATTGAGAAAAGAGCGCTTCATTTAAATCATCATGGGATTGTGGGCCGAGCCGCCCTGTTGTGGTCCGACGGAGCCAATGGTGCCTACAGAGCCCACCGGACCCACAGAACCCATATTGCCCACGGAGCCGATTGGGGCATCCATTGAACCTGGGGCCATCATTGATCCTGGCATCTGCACTGAGCCGGGCATTCCTACAAAAAATTAAGCGTTATATGATTTACAATTCAAAGCTATCTATTTTTTTAGCAAGTCAATTAAAGTTATTTCTTCATCATATAAAATATGAGAGACACTTTTTGGGCGGTTCTTCACTACTAATTATGTTCAAAAATCCGAAAAATATAGATTTAACGCAAAAACTCGCCAGACTTTTACCAAAATTTCAAGCTCCTTATGGCTTTCTAAATCTTTTGCTACTGAACAGCGAAATTTTATAAAACCAACAGTAAAATACATGCGTATTATACATTACATCACGCTACTAGCTATATAGTCAGGGGCGTAGCCAGAAAAAAATTTCTGGGGGGCCCCGAAAAGTTTTTTCCGAAAAACTCAAAAAATTAACGAAAAAACAGCGCCGCAGGCGAAAAATTTTGGAAAAAAAGGCAACATAGCTCTATAAATAGCAGTAAAAAACGTGAAAAATAGCACCACAGGCAGCAAAATTTTTGAGAAAATAAAAATCATAAGGGTCCCCCCTTATGAAATTTTTGGGCCCCGGCCGATTTCGGGGGCACCGGGCCCAGGGGGCCCACCTTAAGCTACGTCCCTGTATATAGTTGCTTTATTGTAAAAATTAGTCCACCCGCCCAGATTTTCCGAAAAAATTCTAATAACAATTAATTTAACTCCAAAAACCTACTGTTTATTCCCGGCCTCTTCAACAATTGCGAGATAGCAGGCCAGATCGGGCACCCTCCAGTCAGCGCGGCTTCCTCGTTGGCGGAAGTGAAGACCTCTTTGAAGCCCTGAAAAAAATTAGATTTTGATTGCATTAAAATTACATCATCATGAAATAATAAACAAAATACCAAGCGTAAATGTAAAAATAAAATACCTCTTTGTCGTCAAACTGATGTGCAGCCGGTTGTTGTTGATGGTGCATGTCGACCTGGTTCCTAAAAAAGACCGGATCACCGAAAAACCGCGGAAAACTCACGATTGCATATTATACTGCAGTATCATGATATGCTTCGGTTTCCGGGCGTGGTCTGGGTCGTGGGCGGGCACAAAGTTTACCTAAGTTTTTAGCTAATGCATAGTTGTTCAAATGTGCTTACAAAGAGGCGCAAATTCTTCTGACGATCGTCGGCCATCACACCCGGTCTGAACTTGCGGCCATGCTGTGGATTCTGGGGGTTTTCGCGGACGAAGACGCACAACAACAAATGTAAGCACCATTGGTTTTCTTGCACTGAGGGGACCTGAAAAATAATAGTTTTTTTAGTAAACAATTCCATAATAAGGTTTATTCTATTTTGGCAAAAATTAGACTGTCGGCATTGAATTTATCGGAAATTCATTTTGTCGAAAAATTTAATTTTTTTAGATTCTGGCTTTGTCGAAATGACCTCGTGGCCCATTTACAACAAAGACGTCAAGATTTTTCAACCACTAAACAGGCTCGAACGCATTAACCATCAATTTTCGACACAAAAATGTCGACAACATCTCGACATTCTGATTTTCGACATCGACATTGTTGGCTTCCGCTCGTAAAGCTACCCACATCATCAATAGAGTCCATCTGTGCCCGCAGGACTTTGGCCATCGACGCAAACGCCCCATTCGGCATTCGGCAGATGCTCAGGAAAGCGAGCAGTGCAAACTCGTTTTGCAGCCTAAATTCGAGAACTTGAGAAACCTATCTGAAAAACATACGGGAAAACAAGGCGCTCAAAAAACTCTTCAAAGATGGCAATATCTTCGCGTGACGGTCCGGAGTCGTCCACTGAAAAAGCGAACCATTGGCCCTTTTCAAAGCTTTTGAAAATTAAAAATTCCCGCCGAAACTATTTTTCCAATTTATCCGGTTTGGCCTAGTAATAATAGATCGGATTTAACACAATTCAGTTAATTTTTAGCTATATCCAGGACAAAAAAAACTCTCAAAATGTTTGGAAAGGCGAAATTTGGTGATTTTAAGTGGAAGAGGGTTATTTTTCGGACTAAAAGTAGATCGGAGTATGCGAATTTGTAAAGTATTAAAAGTAATTTGTAATTCGGCATTTACCCGAAAAATCTACCTCGTCTATAAAAATACAACATAACTAGTAAATTAAATTAAATCCACGAAATTAACTTACGATATTCAATGGAGCACTTGACGGTGAACGTCTGGGCGCAGAGGTAGAAGTTAAAGTTGAGCACGGCCGATTTGTGCGGGTAGACGGGGGTGGGTGGGTCGAACGTCTTGCTGGTGACGCGGATCGAATCGGGGTGGATGGTCAGCTGGTCGATGAGCATCGGGGAACGGCCAGCAAGGTGGCTGATATGACTCAAAGCGGTGGCGACGTGCCGTAGATAGACGAGGCCGTGGAGGTAGACATCCAGGGGCGGAGCACGAGCTAAAAAAGAATGGTTCTTTTCTATTATCGGGGGAAGTGTATTTTTTTACTTTGAGCCTAGAAATGCCTCGTGATTTAAAAGCAAGTAGTATGATCGTGTTTTTAGCAAAAACTCAGCTCTTTTTTAAGTAAAAAACTGCCTAAAAGCTTGGGGAAATTTTAAAAATCTGAATCTGAAAATTCGCAAATCATTACTTCTAGTTATACCAAAAAATGTAGTTTTTACGCCTAGGAATGGGAAAAATAGTGTAAAAACACCTCTTCCATTTGAAAAGGATGGGTTCTAAGGACCATTCCCACCCCCACCCCTCCCCCCCCCCCATAATGTAAAAGCACCAAAATAACGATCCGAAAGTCGCTAAAAAACTCACGCTTCTCCCGTGAAAAGAACGAGGCATCACGATCTGGCGGTTGAATGGCGCAAGCTCTGTGGAGGGTGGCATTATCGATGAGGATGATGTTGGAAGATAGGCCAAGCTCAGAATTGGATGGAATATACGAGCCGTGGGGAGATGGCTGGGAAGCGGCTGCTGGCACCGACAACGAGTGGCTGCTCGCCAGAGGAGAAGCCGCGTTGTGCTACAAAAGATGAAATTATAATGGAGATGATAATCCCGTAGTGAATCGTTAGGGGGGGGGGGGAGGGGAGACAGCGGAAAATCAATTCTTTTTCCAGCAAAGCCTCTGATGCAATAAAAAACAAAGTCTATTATATAGTGTTTTTAGTAGTATTATGGTTACCAAGAAATTATAAAAATAAAAAAAACATTAATTATCAATATTCAACATTAATCGAAATAAATAATTTTCTGACAATTTTAATAATTTCTTACGAACCTTTTATATATAGAAAAGGCGTAAAATGCTTGTATAATACTTCATATTTGATTCTTTGATCTCTACGGAAACACCAGACAAATTTAGCCCCCCACTAACACACCAGTACCGATATTTCTTACCTCCATTGGCAGGCTGTTGGGCGCAATTGGCGATGGATTCCTCGGCCCATTCCTGTCCATAACCACTTCCGCGGTTCCGCTAAACATTACAAAAATTACTACTTTAACCTAAAAATCCTACTTTGATATCCATTTCCAAAACTGTTCCATCCCGACGATCGACGAGTGGAATCGCGTACAATCTCGGACGCCCACCTAAAAACTTAGAATCCAGTGGATTGCAACAAATCACCTTGTCTTTGGATAACAGCTTAAACTCGATATGTAGATGGCCGAATTGGAGGCGCATCGTGTACGCGTCGCTCGGGCAGATGTTATACTGTAAAAACAATACAATCACATAAAATAATAAATTTATCCTACCTTGAATTGTAGTGAGAAAACCATGTCGTTGCCGAGGATCGAGGCCAGTGACTAAAACGCGGGACATAATTCGGTACTGGGCTGGTAGCGGGGGGAGCTAATTTTTGTTTTTTTTTATCTATACCAGTTGATATTAAATGCTGTTTCTCCAATGTTTTTAGTAGTTTTTGCTTGCTAGAAATTTACAAAAAAGCTTAAATTCTGAAAATTCAAAGATTTTGTATCTTTTTGGGTCATGATCCCAAAATTTCGACAAAAAATCGAACATTTCGAAATGTCTATAATTTTTTCCCGAGCTTTTTATCCCTAAAAACTGCATAAAATGCTTGACAGATGGTTTATATTTCGTGACAGGGCCGTACGGGACTAATTGGGAAAATTGGTTATTCCTTGATAGCCACCCCCCCCCGCTAAGAGTTTAGTACCGATAATTTTACACAGACATTTTTTTGAATACCAGAATTTCGAAAAAGTCATTGCTATTTCATATAGAAATAGAAATTAAGAAAAAATCGAATTTCGGTAGTAAGTATAAAAATCAACTAAACAACGTTTCAGAACTACCCAATAAATCCCTACCCGGATGGTCTTGAAACGCGTCCGCGAATAGCCGGAAAGCGCTGTAAGGGGCACGGAAGTCGCCACAAGATAGTCAACCAGTTCCACGAGATCCGGCCGGATGTTGAAGCTAAAAATAGGACAAAATTCAGATCTAATGACAAAAACCGACTTCTCGTTGATGATATGCGTCAATTGGGCATGCGGATTCCACCGAGATTCGCTGGGCCACCGGAAGTCCTGCTTCTGGTAGACTTCGTTGGGTAACGTCTGCCCGAATGTGATCACGAAGGAAGGTTCGATCGGCTGAAAAGATATATGAAATTTAGAGGTAAAGGTTAGCGGGACCTTGCCGGCATTACGGAGCCTGTAGGTGAGCACGAGCAATTGGTCACGCTTTTCGCCATAGGCAATGACGAGCTTGTGATAGGTGTAGGCGTGGATCTGAGACGGGATTGAATTTCAAGGAAAAAATTTTAGAGAGAGAGAGAGAGAGAGAGAGAGAGAGAGAAGAGAGAGAGTGAGAGTGTGTGTCAGGGAAAATCAGAAAAACAACTAGCAAAAATCTTGCGGAACTCAAAAACACTAACCGAACAATATTTGTGGTACATAGCTTTGTAAGCGGGCGCGAACCGGCTGGCAATCTTGTAAATGTGCGCAAAAATCGTCAATCTTTCGAGAATCGTCGTCGAGACGGAGTCGTTATTAGGCGAATAATGGCCACTCGGGATCTCCATCATGCAGGCGCGCCGCTGAAATTTTAGCTATTGTAAAACGCTTTCAATTTAAATTCATAGTTTTTCCAAATCACTTACCAACGGACCAGGCCTTGAAGAAACGCAATCAGATGGCAACGGATTATCCTTGATGCAACACTCGAACGGCCAGACGACCTTCGCCCGTGTGTCCAATCGTAGACAACACCGGACGAGATTGTTGAAAAACTCGGGCACCTCGACGTCGATCGAAGATTGTAGGCTAGAAATGAGTCATTATAAACAACACGTTTGTAATTACTCTTTTAGCTTTAGCATCAGCCCGCCGACCACCTCTTCCGTTTGCAGTGGTTCGTAGCTGATCTTTTTCCGGCTGAGCTCTTCGGTTAGCTGAAAAAGCGGCGTAATTCTAAGTTGCATCTTTCCCTCCTCACCTTCATAAATGCAATTCGGTCATCGACAGCCGCCACGGCACATGACAAACTGCGGCCCCAGTCCGACTTGGCCTCCTAAAAATTACGTGGGTTTTTACAAACGGTTTCCTACATCGTAGACATCATCGCGATGAAGTTCAAAATAACGGGTCATCGGCGCATGCAGGGCTGGATGATCCTAGAACAGCATTTAGGGAATAGACCATTAACCTACCCGCGACAAGTTCAAGATGGTCACTTTGTCGTTGACGGCCGTCAGTAGATGAAGATTCGTCTGGACATGAGACATCGAATCCACTTCGAAGGCTACTATCTGAAATGAATTGTTAAATCAATGAAAAGAAATTATGAGATAGAAGCTAAATTGCCAAAAGATAAAACACTAAAAAACCTTAACACTCCAATTTCTAGATCAATTTTAGTTTATGCTAAATAAATTTCTAAAAGACGCTCTAAACCAACCAAATAGTAGTTTTCATCTTTGAAAAACTGGAGCACGATACGATCGTTGGGGATCGATTCGACCTGCAATAAAATTTTAAAGAAAGCCGCTTACTTGCTACCTTGCTCAATTTGGTGGTCATCTGCGCCTCGGTCAGAATTCGGACCTGCAGGCAGGCAACGGCCTTCTTGTATCGCTCGATCATCATCAGAACCCTGCAAAATATTAAATCGACAAAATAAAGCTAATTTACTTCAGCCGATTCACCCATTTTTGCAAGAGGGTGGGTGTGAATTTGCTCTCGTGGAGGACACGCTCGAGCTCGCGAAGTTCAGTTCTTTCTCCTGAAAAACATTTTGAGTACCTTCCTCAGCCAATTTTTTTTCTATAGGTCCCGATAAAGTATTTAGATAGGTTTTTTAGTACAATTTATCTTTTCTTCAAGTGGAAATAAAACTTCGAAAATTTCAAAAGCGCTTCAAAATTTTATAATGCCAAAAACCCATTTTCTTACCCAGCGTGTGCATCGTGCATGTGATTCTTCCATTGTAGAAATTGACCGAAATGTTGAGCGTCTCCTCTGGCTTGGCGTCCATCACCAGCCGATAGCGAATCACCGGCACCACATTTCCGGCCAGTGCCAAATTCGACGCTAAATTTTATCGTAATAGCGTCGTGAAAGGGAAACTAACAGCTGCTGCACTCCTCCAATTTCTCGCGAATGATCAGCAACCGTTGGATGCAACGGAATGTGAAGATTTCAGAAAGGAGCCGGTCCATTGAAAGACGCCTAAATATTATATTTTTATTTTCAGGCAGATAATTACCCTGTCCTTTCATCGAGCGTTCCAAATTTATCGCTTTGCGGGAAATGGCGAACGCGAAGTGAAGCATAGCTGTCCGGACGGCCACAAGAAATTTGCAACCGGAATTGAGGAACGAATCTAAAAAGGATGGATTGTGATTGACGAATTCCGTTAATATCTCCGTAAATTCGGTATACGGTAAATATCAAAAACTTTGAAAAAGCTGAAATTTTTTTTTCAAAAATCGGCCATTTTTGCTTGGAAATATAGATCTTTGATAATTTTAACAAAAATGTCTAAAGTTTTCATGTTGAGCAACAGTAAAAAAAGTGTTTAGAGACACTGCCACTATCAATATTTTCAAAATTAAAGGCTAAGAAAAAAGTGCCCCCCCCCGATAACGCGAAAGCACCGATGTTTCTATAATAAAAAACGGTTTTAGGGCCAAATAGTATATGCGAAGCCGTTTATATAACAACTCTACCTTGGTGGTTGCCCCTTTCGAGTCTGAATCCGCTGTAGCCAGTACCCAATCACGAGCACCCGCTCTTTCTGGTCATAACGTTCGATCGAAATTTTGTCCCTAAATGGAAAGTTCTAAAAAAAGCCAAACAATCTCACCGAAGTCGTCCGGAAGCCAGCTGAGTGGCCTGGCAGAAGAGCACGTCCAATTTGATGGATTGGGCAAAGTAGTGGAGGAAGGCGTAGACCTCTTGGAGCGGCTAAAACTTGATTTCTCAGCAATATCGAGAGGTTCCTACATTTTTGCTGGCATCCATCCTGGACTGTAAAACTTGATGGACAGCGTTGAGTTGTAGCGGATGGACGAGTTGAGTTCCTGGAATTTGGCCGTATCAAAGAAATTGTCCTTTTAAATACCATATCCAATCTCGTATTCCTCTACAAGCATTTTGATGTTTAGAAGTGTCCATGGAATCGAAGGAGCTTCTCCCAGAACAGTTAATTTCGCCTCAAATTCTCCCGGGACGATCAGGGTCACCTAAAACTTGTCCCTAATTCCAATAAAATCATAACTACCATCCCGTTCTTGATGATGATCTTCTGGATTTTTGGAGACAGCTTCGGCGAGAGTCGAGAAATTCGAGCCTGCAGCACTTTGTTCAGCCTCGACAGTGTGTTGGCCAGTTCGAGCTGAGTGATCTTCGGCTCGCTAATGTAACGCCGCTTGATCGACAGGGGCAATCGAGAATAGGTACCCTACAATTTGACTTAATTAAATAGTATTGAACAACCTGTGTCAAAATGTCGACCGCCGAGCAAACGTGAAAATTCGGCAACTTGGCAAGCTCAAGGCCATTCCTAAAATCGTGATTCTCGGAAACCGATTGAAAAACAAACTTGAAGTGAAACAAGTTGTCGGCCGTCTCGACAAACAGCTGCATTTGCTGGTCGAGAATGTAGTTGATTACCTAGAGCAAGACTTGCCGGAAAATTTTTCTGCGGCTTACTGAGCAATTCTCAAACTTTTTGCTCGTCTTCAACCATCTTACAATCGCCAGAAGCTTGACCGTCAACGTGCGGGTCGAGTGCGCGAATTGGACCAGTGAAATCTTTTTGTCTTGGTCATATTTCTTGCCGACCCTGAAAATAAGGAAATTTATGCGCTCGGTAAAAATTAAAGCTTAGCGTATCAATAAAACAAGCTACTTACAATTCGCTAAGCACTGTGATCTCATGCAATATCTGCTGAACGGCAAAGTCGAGCAACACCTAAAAAACGAAGTTTCAAGCTCTCTGTGAGCAGCTCACCGATAGTGGTATTGAAGGCGGGCCACACTTGTCGGGCGTTATCACTTGTTTGTTGAGATCATCGGCCTCGGTGATTGAGGAGGGTTGATCCATTTCCTAAACGTTTTTATTTCGAGCATTTTATCGCAAAAAATGCAATGGGAAAAGAAGGCGCTAATAAATCGTAGTTGCAGTAGACAAAATTGGCAAAAAATGGCCAATACCCGTGGAGAATCACAAAAAGAAGCAAATGCCGAATTAGATAGGGATTTTCAAACTTCTAAAACGATACAAGAAGTAAAAGGTGAGTACGTAATGCTACTCAGGCGAAAAGTTGCAATTTGTAACGATACGACATATACGAAGGACTTCAAATGACGATCGGTTATATATTGTAGCAGCTCGTTGAGTTTATTTTTTGTAAAGTTCGTTTTTCTTAATTTTTCTTCCTTCTTGTTCAATTCCATTTGACATAAATTTGTGGAATGGTCCCAGGCCTGCCATCAACAGTCCCTTCATAAAAGCCCTGGCCAATCTTTCGATGTGCTTCCACGCTCTGACCCTTTTTTAGGCGAATCGCAGCCGAATCGTAGACGCTTGGCACTCGATCGAAAATAACTTTGCCGGTGGCGGGCAATCGCAGATCCTCAACCACTTCCGGTTCTCCCTCGACCTCAACGGAATTGCTGCTGCCATGGAATTGCGAGTCTTCGGTGCTTTTGCTGCCGGTGCTCGAGCCAGATATCCGCATGACGTAGTCCGGCGGGATGAGGCCAGTTTTTTGGGTTGAGTTGCGTACTTTTAGCGTGCCATCGCCCATCTTTTCAAGCACTTCCAAATGGTCTCCAGGTTCGGCCGTCAAATCTTGTGCTTGATATCTGTAGACGACCTTCACGATCTCGGTACCTTTTGCCATATATGGGATTTTGAGGGCTGATTGATCGAGGGTCCGTCGGGTGTAGTAGCTAAGAAGTTGGGCCAAATCGACGAACGATTGTGTGGCGAGCGTGACTGAGTCACTTCCGTCTTCGCCCTTCCGTTCGATTAAATAATGTTTTACGGGAGGCTGTTCTTCGGATTCCTTTACAGATAGAGAATATTCACCTTCTCGAGAGGAATCGCGAAGTAGGAATGTGCCAATGGGCAAGTCCTTTAGAATAGCTGTAGCTTTATTGCGGCTCATTTCGGGATAATAGAATTGGCGCCATTCCAAGGGGTTGAAGCCTGTTTCCCCGGCCGCCATCATCTAAAAGTTTTATATATAAAGAGGAGTTTAAAAAAATTGATAGAGTAACTGTTTTAGGAGATATTAATAGATGTATGGGTGCCCCTGACTGATTTGAAATCAAGGAATTCGTGGTTTCATAATTTTGCAGATGGAACCGAACGCCCTTAGTTGATGGAAGAGACCTTGAATGGGTCAGAGAGGTGCGTTAATGCACGAAGCGCCGAGAGAACAAGGAGTCCCTCGTATCTGCCACTTTCCATTGCGTAAGCACCCGCCCTCCGCAGTGTTTTGACATTGTTGCCGGCGAGAAGCACAACATTATGACGAATGGACCCGTCAGAAGCCTCCGGTTCGATTTGGTTTGATGATTTACCAAATGTTCATTCACAGGCAGGTTATTGAAAATTGGACGAGGGATAGATGATTATGATGATGATTGTTAATTTACTAAATTTTTTAGATCCCCGCACATCTTGATTTCGGGACCGTCAAAGTTGAAGTGTCAACACTTGGGCTTTCGGCCGATTCTTTGGTGATTGGAACGACGTGTGGATCCGTTTTTATATTTGAAAGACAATCCGGGAAGTTACGCCGGCAGTACGTTTCTCAAGAACATACAAAAATCAAACGATTTGCACAGGTTGCGTACCTCGACTTTGGAGAGTGTTTCTTGTCTGGCTGTGGTTGGACAGCATGTCGCTTGCGGTCATTTTTCCGGACATCTTGTTGCCCTGCGTCTTCCGAGCGGGAAATCGAAGAAGGTTTGAAAAGACAGAAACCATATATATTTGATTTACTTATTTTTATAGATTGAACAATGCTCCGAACGAGATCAGCACCGCGGTGCCGCACTCCGATTTCTTTGCTGGAACGATGCAGGCACCGAGCTCATTTCCGTAGACGATACAGGAGTGGCCATTCTAAGCCGCCTCGATTTTAACAAGGTTTGGCAAAAAAAAAGATACAACAATAATCATGGTTTCAGAAAAACTACGTGCACGCATTTCTGTTTTGCGGGCCTTCCCCAGTTCGGGCCTTAGACTTCCGCTTTGATCAGGCGATGTTCTGCACGGAGAATAACGAGGTGAACGTTGTAGATGTGGGAACGCTTGATCAATCCTTGGTTGGAGAACAGAATTGGTAGGTTATCAAGAAATCGAAAAATAAGGAATTTTTATTCTTAAAAATGGGAAATATCTTTATAGCAAAATCCCGGTGGTCAGCTGCTTATGGACGTCGGATGGGAAGATGTGCTTGGTTTACGAGAATCTACACATATTTATCTATGAAAGCGAAAATCTGGCGGTAGCGGTGAAGACGTACGATTTGCGCGAGGTGATTATTTTATAATAGAATTTAAACAAAAACGCTGATTTAGACGTTGTCTGCCGCGTACACCTCGGAAATCAGTGTAAACGGTAATGCCTTGGCGACAGCTTGGGAAGATCCAGCTAGTGGCCGGTGAGTTTTTGATGCTTATTACATTTAGTTTATTATAGTCTGATCGCGTCTTCGAATAGCCATTGTTGTCTGATGACCGATCAACGGCAATTGATCTTTTTGGAGATTGGCGATGAATTGACGGTCAAATTGGCATTCGCTATGGATGGGCGAGAGGTTGGTAAAATAGCTATCTACGACCACAAACTTAAAGAATAAACTGGAACTATCGATTAAAAACGAACTTTTTAATAAATTTAATAAATCCTTATATTCCTCTAGATAATCGCCGGCGTGATGGATTCCGAAGAAATATTTCTGATCGGCCCTGGGCGTAGAGTGTCTCGGATTGGAGCCACGCGCAATATTTTGAGAATGCCATCGGTGGAAGGTTAGTAATATTAAGATATGTTATTATACAGATACAAAATTTAATAAAGAAATGATTTCAGAAACCTCAGCCGCAGCCCGCCCGACCCTTTCATCAATCGTCGATTCTACATCGAGCATCCTCGAGCGCGTTATCGTGTCCAATGACAATACACGGCGTGAGATTACGGAAACAATTGGAGGTTTGTCGCCATAATGATATTAACAACATAGCCGAGCAATTCTACAAAGTATAACAAAATTAGCTTTTAATTTTTAGTAGTAAGGGGTAATTGTTATTTTGACTTCGACAACGTAATTTTAATATCAATAAAAAGGCGAAAAACGGAATAAACGCAAAATTTAGGCATGACCAGCTCGATCACCTCAAAAATTGCGCCGTCGCTGAACACGATCGTCGAAAACTTCCGGCGCCACGTCGACCACTCCACTTATGGGGTAGAATTTTTGATAATTTTTAGATAATGGAGTTTGTTTTAATGTTTTTATTCGTGTATTTATTGCTTTAGACAGCTGAGGGCCAGCTAATCGCAGAATCGACAGAAACGAATAGTTCCTGCGGAAACGATATTGGTAAAGGTTTCTGAAAAAAGGCGTCAATCCAAATTTTTCAGAAGTTGCGGAGGAAATAGGCCACGACACGAGTGTCGTCGTCGTACGAAGGCATTTGGGAGCTGGGAAAAAGAAGAGGAGAAGAAAGATGGATGGAGAAGAAGATGAGGAGCAAGAAGATGAATCTAATCGAGAGGTTAGGACATGATAGTTTTGGCTAAAATGTCGAATTCAGGACACGTCCAGCCCATTATCGATCGACGCTCGGGATCGATTGCGTGACGTTAGACAGCGTGGGTTTCAGCTATTTTAGAAGCGCTTAGCGGTCTTTTTCTACTGTCGTTGGTTTCCTCTATTTTATTCCTTTCAAGTTCTTTTAAAACACGTTTTTTATTTTTTAGATTTTGTTACCCTTAAAAATGGCATTTATTTAGTTTGAGATCTTTTCCAGCTATTTTTGTTGATCGATTGATCTATATATTTGCCAATTAGTACGTCTTCTTTTTTTTGTAGTTGTAGCTCGCATCGGCTCTGGCCAAAGCCTCGATCCTCCCGTCGGATCGCCTATCCCAATTTCCCCACGACTCTGCACGACTGCAAGCAGTTACTCGCCAAATCCGTGGGTTTTCACTTTTTGATCTTAATATTATCATAATTTTGTTTCGAGTTTGTTAAAAAGCAATCAGGTATATTTACAAACTCTCACCGTTTAGGCCTGAAAATGCAGCGTCCCCGGGATCCGGGGTGGTCGACGAAGAAGATGATGAAAAGGCAGAAAGCAGCGAGAGCGAGGAGTTGGCTTCCTCGCTGGACGCCGTCTTCGAAAGGAATATCAGCTTAGCGCAGCCCGTTGAAGAGGTTGGTTTTTAGTCGCCGGTTTAAAAAATTTTAGCCCCCAACCTGCCTCGGTCTAAACGATGAAGCCCCAAAGAAACTTGAGCTTCAGAAGGAAAAGCTCGACAAGGCGGTCATTGTCAATGATTTGGTTGATATCTGGACGGAAGTACGTTTAATTTAGCTATTTATTTCGATACCAGCGCCCAAAACCCGCTTCGCGGGCCTTGGACGCTGGAATTGGGCCTTTGCATGAAAAATTTGACTTTCCAATAGCTCGGGTCCGTCGGACCCCTTCCCCCCCACCGACCACACACGCGCGGGCAAATTGCGAGAATGAAGAAATTTGTATTTTTTCATATTATGCAAATTACCCCCAAAAATGAATAAAACCGGCCTTAACTTTGTAAACTTGTATTTTATCGAAATTCTGAAAACGCCATCGGAAAGAGGAGGGTCGATTCCCCCAAGTGACAAAAAATCAGCGCATTTTATCCAGGGGAAGGCCCTTCAATCGGACCTCGAAAGTGACATCCACACACACACACAGAGATACACCCTAAAATTATATAAGGTAGGATTAATGATAGCTGTTAATTTTTATTTTACGAAGCAACTTTCCTTAATTCAGATATCACTACCCTATACCCCGTCATCACTCTCCGCAAATGGGGAAACGTTTTTGATGTGCCACAGGAAACGCCATCCAAGATGGGTCGCCATTGACAAGTTGAAACGAAAGAATACCGAATGGATAGCCGCCCAATTCCTGGCCGACCAGCTGGAAACGAGCGGTACGCTTTGGATTCGAACAAAATTGCAATCCATAGAATTAAAAAAAGGAAGAATCCGTTACGCAATGTATTTCAGAGCAGTTACACCGTGAAACTAATAAAATTCAGTAACCCTTTAGAAAACGGCGGTTTTTACTGGCGCGTGAGAAAAGGGATCGCTCAGATGTGCATCGAGTTGACGCCGAATGCCGTCTGGATGGATGTGGGCTTTTAAAACCCCTTTTGTATCTTGTTTTTAGTTTGAAATTCGAAATTTTTTCATTCGAATTTGTAACTTAGTATAATTAAATATATTAAAAAATATTTTTACCAATAAAAAATACTTAGGGAGCTCCAATAGCTTCAGCATGCGCGCTCGCGAGTAAAGATGCTTGGTATGTGACAGGGGATACGGTAAGGAACCTAGAAAAATGGGGATACGGCAACTTGGCTTTTAGGTTGCTGTGAAAATGGAGCTTCCGGAGGAGGGATATCATCACGAGATGCCCTGTGAATGGCCAATCAGGTTTGGATAGTTTTTTTTGGTTCTAGACTTTTACGGGGGGGTTTAATATATTGAAAATATTAAAAATTCGTGAATTTTGACCCTTTTGTTAATTTTTCATGCATTTAATTTTCGACCTAAAATTCAAAAATTTTCGAAAATTTTTAGAATTTTGTACGAGATTTTTATGCCTAAAAACTGTTTGCATTGCTATAAAAATAGTTACAATCATATTTCTCGTATTTAAGAACTCAATACTATTTAAAAATTTACAGATTCTGAAATTTAGAAGTCTCTCCGCGACACGTGACGCCGTCTGGGCGATACGCGATGATACGGGCGAGATGGTGGTGCGTGTCGGGATGAATAACTGTAGAACAGGCACCGATTGGGTCTCACTCGAGTACGTCACTTTACAAACGCCTATTAGAACATTGAAAATATTTTTAATCAATTTCTTTAAAAAAAAGGTTTTTAGCATCGAGATCCCTGGGAAACTCGTGGCGGTGAAACTGGTGGAGACCGTGGGGTTCTTATTGAACGAATTTGGTGAGCCTTTAATTCTTTTATTTTGCTTGAACATTGAGGCGAGCTAGCGGAGATTTTTTAGGAAATCTTTGGATGGTAAAAGGAGTCGACGCCTTCCACCCCTACGGTAATGGGGACAGCTTCATGTCGGTGTGCACACCAATGGCTGGCAGAAAGGGGTTGCCTCATCCGACACAATGGTAGGACATTTTTGAATTCGGGGAAATAGGGCATTTTTTAGGAGAATGACCGCTTCGACACGCGGGTTATTTATCACGGCCGGAAGGATGTTGTTCGCGTCGCGGGTTGCTGTTTCGGGGCATCGGTCGGTTACAAATTTGGCTTAGAAACTTAGCTATTTTGTAGCGAGATAAGCCAATATTTTCTAAAATTAAATACGTTTTAAAATTTATCTTTACTAATAAATATCTCAGGCTTTAGAATTGGTACACATAGGATAACGGGGGGGAAATAACGGGGGGGCACTCAAACTTTTTATATGATAAAAGTATTTTTAAATAAGCTTTTTTCGGGCTGTAAAAAAAACTCTTAGTATATTTTTCGGTCCTCTATCGAATGGCATTTTCAAAATTTCGAAAATATTCAAAACGCCGAAAATTCCCCCCTGTTATCCTATGTGCTGCCCATAGTTTTCAAAAATAGTTTTTAGGCTATAAAACTTTTATAATACATTTTTTCGCGTTGTAAAAAAATCTCTTAGTATATTTTTTGATGTTCTATCGATTCGCGTTTTCAAAATATCGAAAATCTGAAAAATTTGGCTTTCCCCCGCGTTATCCTATGTGCTGCCCATGGATTTTGATCAATTTTTGTTTATTCGATAAAAAATTTCATTTACATTATTTCGGGCTGAAATTAATCTTCCTAGGGCAGTTTTCGACGCTTTATCGAATGACGTTTTCAAAATACCGAAAATGTCGAAAATTTCGAAAATTTGATTTCCCCCGTTATCCTATGTGCTGCCCATAGATTTTCCTCAATTTTTGTTTATTCAATAAAAAATTTCTATTACATTATTTCGGGCTGAAATTAATTCTCTTAGTATATTTTTCGACGCTCTATCGAATGGCACTCGCAAAATCCCTCAGTAATTGCAAATTTCATAATAATGAGTGCCCCCGTTATTTTATTCCCCCCCGTTATCCTATGTGTACCTTAGAATTTAACAGTCTATATACAAACTATCCTTCAGATTCCCGCACGTGATCCCACAAAAATTGCGACATTACGATAAATTTACAATGCTGGCCGCCGGGGCGTTGGTGGATGATAGTTCGACACGTGGGTCGCTTTTGAGGATTTTTCCATAGAATGTTTTTTGTATTGTAAATGGAAAGCTTTTCTCAACTTATTTTTACTGTTCCAAAGCGGAAACACTTAGAATTTTTTGGTAGAAAATACAAAAATATCGTTTTTTCGCCCAAAAGTTTGACAACTAAAATTTTGTCAAGTTCTGGATAGTTTTTGTACTTCAAATCTCATTAAATTTGAGGAAAAGGACTATTAAAATCGTTGCCATTAAGTTACCAGGAATTTCTACACTTATGAAAACTACCCCCTCCCGATAATGCACAAGTTAATGTTTTTGGTCTAATGAATTCGCTAAATTTTAACTATAAATTTATACATTACGGCTGTTACAGAACGCAAAATGATATTTTGAAACCGAAAGTATTCAGACGGTGTTTTTGCCTGCCGCCCCAACAGCGAGCTGTTCGGCTTTCGGCCGGCCCTTCAGACCTTCGCAACGACGACGCTGCCGCTGGCAAATGGCCAGACGAGTACGGTAAGTAATAAGAAATTAAGGGTAAAAATAACGCACAATAAATCAAGGTAACGTCCGTAGCGGCGATCCCGGAGCGGCTTATAGCTCTCGATAGCTGCGGGGCATTGTCGGAGCGCCGGCTAAAGGGCAGCGATTTGGAGTGGAAAACGGTTGACACTAATGGTAGGAATCATTTAGCGTCTATTAAACTAGTTTTATTAAGTTATACTGTTTTCGTAATAAAAATATGGCTAATAATTTATTTAGGCGGTACGCTTCTTTCGGCGGCAGTTTGCGAGCATGGCCTTTGGGCGGTGACGTCGGCAAATGAAGTGGTCTACATGGGAAACGGCGATACACAATGGCATCTGGTCGAAAGTCCACACAAGGCCACATTACACGAGGTATATTGTGCGCACTCAAAATTACGATTCCGTTATGGACTTATGGCTTTCACTTTAATTTTTCTTGTTTCAAGATTCGTTGCTCGCGTGATGGTCGTTATGTGTGGGTGCTGAGCGCCTCGGAAAAGAGGTAGGCGTTTGATTCTCAAATATACAATTATTAGTTCTAGGGTATGGGCGCGGAGTGCTGTGGCCGAGCTGACGCCGATGGGGATAAAATGGGTTGAGGTGAGACTTGGAGCCGACTTAGGTTACTGGCCACCCTAACCTACCAATTTTTCTAATTCAAAAGAGGAAGTTGTTCTAAGCGTTTTTTTTTGCTATTCCTAAACGCAAAAACTTTACAAATCGTTATCAAAAACTACAAAAATATTGATTTTAATCAAAAGGCGATTTGTAAAAATCTTTAAAGGGTTTTAGCGAATTATTTCACTTGGAATTAGACGTAACTGTTACTAAGACAACTATTAAAAGGCTCTACTTCGTTAATAAGAATTTATGGGTTTTAACAAAAACTAGCTAAGAAGGTTATGCCAGAAAAATAAGTCATATACCCAACGCGAGTCGAATTAAAGCCGAAATGTTTTTAGATACCAAATTAAAGAAGTCTAAAATAAAATGTATTTGGATTGAATTTAATTATAAAACATAACTTTAGGCTTCTTCCGAGCCACACCTTCTCGAGCTAGCCGTCGGCTGCAATGTCGTCTGGGGGTTGGCCAATGATGGCACATTGTACCGGTTCGTTTCTCGCCCTAAATTTTTTCGTACTAGTTTTTATATTTTTTTTTATGGATTTCGATGCCAATCCCATTCAATTTAGCACGAGAATGCCAAAATTCATAATAAGAGGAACGCCGATTTTGATAAAAGCCCGTCCTTTTTAGGCTTCGCGGGTTGGCGGCGAACAACCCGGCTGGAAACTATTGGCGGGCGCTGCCGATGAGGCTACGGTAGGCCGGTCATTTTCGCGGAAATTCGCGGATTTTAGGGCAATCTCGGTGGACGCGTCGAATGGGTTGTGGGGTGTCGACGAGCAGGGATCTCTCGTCCGGCATGTGGTTCGTTTTTGCTAGTTTTAGAACATTTTAATTTAAAAATTATAAGTTTAAATTTAGACTAATAAGTGGTTTTGTTTTTACTTGTATTTAGTTGAAAGTTTAAAACTAATGATTTAGACCGACGTCTACAAGTTTGCCGACGCGCCACCGGTGGATTTCGGCCCGCATTCCGGCTTCGAATTCATTTGAAACACCCGTGAAAATATTTTATTGGGTTTTCCTACATTTCCGGTGCAGAGTTTACGGGGATTTCATGGTTTTGTGATTCTCGCTGTACCAAATGCATAATAATATTATTCTTGCACAATTACCAAGATAATTCCTGTGATTTGGACGCGTGATAAAGAGAAACAGGTGATTATTAGTTGCAAAAATTGGTCGGCTGGAAGTTTTGGGAGCAAAAACCGTAGGACCGCTTGCATGGGACTTGTCCGGCGCTTGCGCATTATAGAGGGGGTATTCGTAAAAACGGTTAAAAAGCCAACCGAATACGATGTTGAAGCCGTGCGAAAACCTCGCTAAGACCTTTACTTACACACGTAAATACATAATGCTTTATTGATCTCACATACACGCACAGATACCAAATGACAACAGCAGATGGTAGGGATAAGTATACAATACAGTAAAGCAAGGGAGGGTGAGAGTGGCATTTTACGGCCAAAAACGGGGAGACCTGTTAGAGAAACCGATAGAGATAGGACACGGGGGAGTACAGAGAAACTAGCTGACGACGAGCCAAATCCTACTATATATAAAAAAATAGTGTCTGTGTGTCTGTGTGTGCCACTTTGCATCCACTTCCGTATGTCTGTCCGGAGGATATCTCGGTAGGGGATGAATTTTAAGGTATGTATGATACGTCATTAGATGCGTAATGGCCTGGAGATGACTGCACGCATATCAGATTTAACAAAATCACCTATTTTCGACATTAAAAAGAAGTTTTTGTAAAAACCTCTTTGTTAGGAACAATTAGCGTAGACCGGAAGTGGGGATTCGACTATATAAAGGGGCTCAACAGGTAGTTTTTCATTTTTTGTCATCTGAATTCAGGAAAATTATGCAAAGTGAAGGATAAAACGGGGTCATACGGGGCCAGGGTTGAAAAGTCGCGAAGCGGCTTTTCAACCCTGGTGTAATGTAAAATGAGTGGATGTGTGTCGGGTGATCGGTCAGTTTCGTTCATTCCGTGGTCGGCGTCGGCTCATCCGGGCGGTAGGTGCCGTTGATGATGGCTAGCTGGAAAGAAGGGAGGTTGAAGAAGGTGCTGCTAGTCCTGCCTAGCTAACAAAATTTCTAGGGTTTCATAATTTTTATCATACAAAATCTACCTCCAAAATAAAGATTTTAGAAATGCTTAAAAAGTAAAAAATTTTATATCCTGACTATCGAACCTGGACCAGCTGCTGCTTCTTGTGGTCGTTGTTCGTGTTGTTGAGGAGGTTCAGCACGGCGGACACGGCTCCGTCCAACTTTCGGCGAGCCCTGGACAAAACCAGTTGAGAAGAATTGTAAGCAGCGGCCGACTGTGACTTGTCGGCGGCGCTGGCAGTGATGAGGCAGTGGAGCGGTTCGTCGAGATGCTCCCAGCCAACGACACCGTGGAGACGGGCCGCGCGATCCGGGTCCTTTGATGCAAAGCGAGTTGCCATAAGTATGATAATCTACCTTGATAGATCCCTGGCCACGGATCACGATCGAACAGCCCGTCTCGGCCTCCATCTGGCGCACGGAGATCCCGCGAGGGCCAAGAATGCGCCCAATAAAGTTGCACCGGCCACTGAAAAATCGGCTTGAAAGGAATATGAATCGTACCGGACGTTGGGCGGGATGGGGATCTTCTGTTGCAGCGTCCATTCGTCGTGCCCATCGTCGCCGTTGTCGTTCTTTGCCAGATGGAAGGTGGGCGGGGGAAGCAGATGGCCGGGCATGATCTAAAAACAATATAAAAGTGACAGGAACTAGATTACATTCGTGGGCGACGGCTTGGAGACGTTCAGATCATCGAGGCGCGGGATGGCGGCACGACTCTTCGGGGTCTTCAAACCGGGCGGCTTGATGACGGAAGGAAGGGGCGAGGGGCAGGCTTGCAGCGCCGGTGCGGGGGTTTCAGGGCCGCGCATCTCGGTCCACGTGCTGATGATGGAGTTGAAGCAAGGCTTGACATCTTTACCGATCCATTTCGGCCGTCAGCAGCGTCTCGGAATGGCGGAAGGTGCCCGGCTGGTCTTCATGCAGCTGCTCCAGCTGGCTCAACTCGTCCAGCAGCTCCCTCATATATCTGAAGGGGCGTGAATCGACTAAATAACTCTCATACCGCATCTTCTGCGTTTTCGCCTGGGTGTTGCCGTCGAGGCTGTGGGTGGTGGCGGAGCGGCTGGAGGCAGCCGGGCCGTCGGAGCCTCCGCTTGGACGAGACAACATCGTTGGATGTGCAGGGCATACTCGGTTTTCCCATTTCAACCCTGAAACGCAATATAATTCAGTCAGTTCCTCGTATTCAATATCAGGAAACGTATAAAGAAAACAGATGCAAATATTTATGACCTGCCGGCGATTCAAACTTACAGCCGCGCTCCTACAAAAGTAAGCCTCCAAAGCTGGACTTCTTATCCACGCACCTCTCATCAAGCAAATTGACGTACAAATCTTTATCTGACACAAAATTCAACAGAATCACAAGGCTTGGTGCACAAACTATTGGCACAGAAAACTAAACGAAAGGGGGGATGGGTATTACAGGTGGAGGGGAAATGCACAGCTGGGGACATAACAAATTCACAATTTTTGAAAGAGGTCCTTACAGAGGATAACGGGGAAGAGAGTGTACAAGAATGGCGAGGGCATGTGGGGACGCGTTTAGTAGACCCGGATGCAGTTGTTGCCAAAGTCGACGACGTAGATGCGTCCATCCAAGCCCACGCACAGGTCCGTGGGACGATCGAGGTGGTTCTCGTCGGGCTGGAAAGCGGATTGGTTAGAAATTCGAAAAATAATACCTTGGGAGAGCCGGGTGAGGATCGGCTGCACGAGGCCGGGCTGTCGCGATGAATGTCGGACGGGGTGGCAAAGAGAGATTGCAGGGCCGGGTGACGAGCCATGGTCGGCGTTTTCTAAAGCAACATCAGGAAAACCGGGTGCAACGTACCATGCCCTCGCTGGAATACAATTGCGCCGCAGTTGACTGTCGATGGTGGCGGGACATGGGCGATGGCGAGCCAGCAATACGCGTCGCAGATGGGGGCGTGTAGAACGCGGACCCGATGTTCTTGGCAATGTTTTGGCGCGGAGTCTTCTGAATTACCAATAATAATACCAATAAATTATTACCGTCCACTGGGAGAGTGCGGACTCCGAGATGCGCAAACTGTCGAGCATGATGGGGCTCAGCACGACGTTGGAGAACGGATTCTCGGTCCGGAGGCCACGTTCGGCGCGTGGGGTTGATGCGAAAAGGACGTCAGATCGGTGGCCGGATGGGGAGGAGAGCACGATTTGCTGAAACAATTCCTATATAGGCTACAGAAGAAAAAATTACCGAATGGCCCCTAGTGCGCGAGCCATCGATGCTTGACTTGCTGCCGATGACCGCGATCGTCTTCATCTCGTGCAGCTCGAACACTTGGATGCGGTTGTTGCGTGAATCGCAGACAAGCAAGTTGCCTTCGTGATCCAGAGTCAGGCCTTGCGGACGGCAGAACATGCCAGACTAAAAAAAGAACTTTTTGCAATCCCAGGTACAAACATACCACGTCCCCTTCACCACCGAAGCATTTCATGGCCGCCTCGGCGTGCTGGCTGTCAGTCATCATGACCAGGCGATGGTTGTTGAAATCGCTGATGAGAAGCCGCCCGTCCGGCATGAAGCAGACGCCGCGCGGCGAATCGAGGTGCTTGTAGAAGTAGGCCGTGTCGAAGCCGCATTTGTAGAGGTATTGTCCGGTCGGTGAGAAAATCTAAACTCCAAAATCAACGTTTGACAAATTTTTAATACCTGCACGCGATGATTGCGCGTATCCGAGACGGCAATCTGGTCCTTCGAATCGACGGCCACGCCCCAGGGGTAGTTGAACATCGATGTCGGACGGCCCCTCTCGCCGAACATGAACGCGAATGTGCCATCGTTGGCGAAGACCTAGAAATTGAATCAGAATGCAAACCGAGAGCAATCTTACCTGAATCCGGTGATTATCCTTGTCAGCGACGATGATCTGGTCCAACGAGTTGACGCAGACACCGGCTGGCCGATCGAATTGCCCGGCACCAGTCCCGCCGTTTCCAAACTTCATCAGGTAGCCGCCATCCGGGTTGAAAATCTGAAGCAAATATAATAGATACGCAATAAACGTACCTGGATGCGATTGTTGCTGCGGTCGGCGACAATGATGCGGCCCGTCTTATCGCAGCAGATTCCCCACGGGCGGCACAGCTCGCCGTCGCCCGAACCTGCAAAAGAAGGGTTTAAGAACGAAGGTTGAACTTGCCTTCTTTTCCAAAGCGAAACTGCTCTCCATCTTGCATGATGGTGCGGTAGTTGCGGCCACGACGCACGCTGCTCTCCAGCAGGGTTCCCCTAAAAATCTTGATATCCGGAAAGAAAGCCTAAAGAATAAAGGCAGAAGAAAAAGTACCTAACGTAGGATCCGCGGAAATGTATGGGGTTGTAGTGCTCCTCGATGCTTGTCTCGGCAACGGGAACCTGGTCGGAGTCGTAGAAGGGCTGGAGATCCTCGAGCAGCATCGTGCCCACCCCACCGGAATGTTTCGTCATCAAGTACTGCAAAAAGGAACATAAAAAGAATAAAAATAAAACAAACAAAAAAGAAAAAGAAAAACCCAACGATGACAAAATGGATGAAATATGGGGTGGGGAGGATCGACCCTGAATTTCGGGAGTGTTACGATACCCACAAGAAGGCGCTGTTTAGTCAGCAACCCAATCGCCCGAAGTAAAAAAAGTCCGTCTTTCGTATTATCGGGGGGATCAACTTTTTTCTTAGGATCCAATTTTTTTAGTTAATATAAATGCGGAAGTGTTTCTAAACCGTTTATACTATTCGTAAACTTTAAAGCTTTACAAATTTTTGTTAAAAATAGCAATAAAATCGATTTTTCGACCGACATGGGCCGATTTTTAGCCAAAAATTCGGTTTTTGATCCGTGGAAAGTTTTTAGATAGTTTTTCGGGTTGAAATAAGGTTTTATTTGACTAAAAAATTATGGAAGGCTTCCTATTAAGTTACTAGACATTACTAGACTTATAAAAAAGGTTCGGCCCCCCCCGATAATGCGCAAGGACTACTTTTGCATAAAGGGATGCGGAATACGGTAGAAATATGCATCAGAAAGTTTGTATAAATTAAAGACACGGCAATAACACGCCCACCCTTTTCTACAACAACCAAAAAAACTCGTTTAAACCTCGTCTAACTCCCTTCGCGATGTACCCAAAGATGTGGACGGTTCGTTGTTTTTTTGTTTGTTTTAAAGTTTTTTTGTTTTCCCAGTAATACCTTAAAATCAACCATTATACATGGTGTTTAGTTCCGAAAACATAAAATTTATAAAATTTTTGCGAAAAAGTTTAACTTTTGGTAAAAAATGTATGAAAAATTACCAAGAAGTAAACATTTTGCAAATTTTTAACTTTTAAAAATATTTTAGCTTTCCGGCAATAAAAAAATTACTAATAAAACTATAAAATGCATTATACAGAGGCGGACCCCCGTTATAGGTCCAGTATCAGACTTTGTTTTCAGATGATGCTGGTGGTGGTACTGGTCGGAGACCCGTGGATGGTCAGGGGGCAGGAGCCGCCTACTAAACAGCCTTCTTCTGGTTCTCCTTCTCCTGCTGATCCTCCTTCTGATCCTCCTCCTGCTCCTCCTGCTCCTCCTGCTCCTCCTGCTCCTCCTGCTCCTGCGCCTACTGTGCCTACTGCTCCTCCTTCTCCTGCTCCTCCTGCTCCTCCTTCTCCTGCTCCTCCTGTTCCGCCGGCGTCGACACCGACTCCGGAACCCGTTGCGCCCACGGAGTCAACTGCTGTGCCGGCACCATCCGATCCGGCCAGCTCGGCAACGCCCTCCACAGCTCCCACAGCTCCACCATCGCAGCCGCCGTCTCCCAGTTCGGTTCGTTTTCTCCCGTGCTTGTGTATTTGCGGGGGGGGGGTAAAATATAAATAAGACTTTATATAAAATTGAGCGAATATAAAGTAAATATTAGCAATATATAAATTTAAAAGTATGTATTCAAGCAGTATACAAGTTTAGCTAATATAAAATGTACAGCAAGGAGTTAGTAAAATCTATCTGCACTTACCAAAATATAAATTTTTTTAATAAAAATTGATAAAGTGCTAAGAATGTCGGCTAAAAATGCTACACGTTTACCGTCGCATAAAATGCATGTTTTCAGTCCGAGGACACTCCTTCGCCTTCGCCTTCCGGCAGACCGGATCCGGCCACCAAACCCACCGGCCCACCACCGACACCAGCCGTGAGTTGCATTTTTGCGCGACTACATCTCACACATTTTTGCAGAAAACAGCCGGCGAATTGTCGACCTGCATGAGTTCATTACCCGAGAAGCTCAATGCTGGTGGGCAATGCTATTATTTTGGTTGTAAAAGTCGCGAAAAGCCGATCCTCAAAAAAAAGTATCTTAATAATGTCTTTTTTTCCAGTTTTTTTTAGTTTTTTTTTCTTAGTTGAATTTTAACTAAGTATCTAAAAATTACAAAATTTAACAAAGCAACATTTTTTGGTTGCAAATTGGTTATTTTTGGTCGCAACCAGATATTGTATGTACTTTGTAGTCAGAATTTTCATTTTTTACCTTTCAGAATAGCAAAATAAGTTTAAAAACTTCGAAATTATTGGTCGAAAATCGGCATTTTTGTACTTTACAAATCGTACGTTTTAAACGGAATTCAGGCCTGATCATCGGCGGCTTCGTGGCGGCAGTGTTCGTGCCCGTAGCGGTGGCCATCCTCGTCCACATCATCATTGCCATCCAGATCCACGGGGTAACCTGGAATTTCCAAACCCCTCACGTTCTCCTCTATTTTTAGAAGGTTCGCCCGGTGGTGCAGAATCAGATCCCGGAGACGTGTACCGTCATCGATAATGTGTTGCTGAATGGGGCACCGGCTACACTGCTCGACAAGATCCAGAAGGAGATCAACGCGACAAAGGTACGTAATCGTCGAGCAACTAATAATTTTTTAAAGCAATTAGCACTCCGGAATTTTTTTCATAAGTTTAAAAATGTCTAGTAGCTTAATAGGGAGCCTTTTAATAATGTTCTTAATAAAATAAAACTATATTTGCAGTAGAAAACCATCTGCAACTGTCAAAAGTGTTTACAACAACTATCTTTTTCAAAAATCTGCCATTTTCGGTCGAAAAATCGATATTTGTGGCTTTTTTAGCATTAATTTGTAAAGTGTTTATGTTTAAAACTCGTAAAAATAGCTTATAAACATTTTTACTCAGATTTAGAAACGATTTTGGCGCTTTTCCAGATCAAGAACGCTGACGGCAAGACGATGAGCATGATGCAGTGAGGAGGGGAAGGAAAGAGAAGATCATCCACTCCCGCATCGCATCATCTCCAACAACCACAACAAACCATCCGAAAAGCCTCGACAACATCCGGGATACCATCATCTCCATCCAGAATATCCCGGACTCTTCGATCTCTCGCTTTCTATTGCCCCCTATTCGGCATCCCCCACCTAGGCCCACGTCTCCATTTTCTGTCTGTTTTTCTCGTTTTGCCCCTCCACCCCCCTCATCGTGTTGCTATTTTTTTATGGAAAAGAATCGCTATTCCTCGTGGCAACAACGTGTTTTTTGGGTGGATGTTGCAAACTACAGGCTACAAAATACGGACCAAAAAAAAGGATAAAATTGAGCCTCTACAATTTTTAGTAACAAACTTTACACCGCTTTCCATCGGGCAAAAATTATTTTTAAGATGGAAGGCAAGGTTGGCGATAAACTTTTTTAAAACTACAAATTACGGCGTAGTAGAGACAGCGTTTAAAAATGCGTGAATTTTCTAGCCGACAGGCTGCAACGAACGGAAGACTACCAAGCAAGCAAAAAGCCTTAATAAACCTTAATAAGCTACTTGCTACGGGCTACAAAACGTGGTGAAACTACAGGCTACAAGCAATGAACCGCCACAAAACAACTGCCACCACAAAATCGAAAAACTTAGCTTCAAAGCAAGATTTTATTATTTTTTTTTACGATCGTAAAGTTCGAACTGAAAAGTTGACCGTTGAGCCGTTCTCATTTGCCATCACTAGCCATGGCTGTTGATCGATGATCTGAACGGTTTTGCCTTCATCTCCCTTCCTTCGTTCCGTCATTCATCCACAGGATTGGATTGCCAGATACCCTGCAATACCCTCCATTCCTTTCTGACTTTTTCGCAGCAAATGCCAGGAAATCGAGCTATATTCTTGTTATTTTTCTTTTTCTCCACATTCCTGGGTTTCGGTATGTTTTGCTGGTTCCGAAATTATCTTTGCTAGTACGATGTCGCACCTTTAGCGACAATCGAATCGACAAATTAAAACCTTATTTTTGCGCCTTTTCATTCGAGTACAATGGGCTACTAGGTACAAGTCGACTTTATGCGCCAGTGGCATGCCCAGGGATTTAACTTTTCGGCACATAACTGGCCCCTTTAACACACTTTAAGGTTTTAACGGCTTCAAAGTAAGTTGGCTAGCTTTAATAGTTTCGATGTCCTCTCGCGTAGTGGGTTTTACAGCGTACGCCGACGGTTCGTCGTTGAGTGACATTCACCGCCGACTGGCCGCCAAGCAGTCCGCGCCCTCGCCTGCGTATTGGCAATTTACGCGGCCAATCGGAAGTATTGGCGGGCAACCGGTGGGTTTTTACGGGTCCTTACAACGTACGTTTTTAAAAATTTTCACGTTGCGCGTCTCGAGCTATTATTTCGGCGTTGCCAACTAGCGCGCGCGTTGCGTGTCGCGTCCGCAGAACTGGATAGCAGAGAATCTTTTGAAAGTAAAATTCCGTCGAACTGTTTATTCACATGACAATAACTTGCTCATAAAAAATGGGGGGTGCTGATAATGGAAGTGTTTGGTTGTATGTGGAAGGTGGCCGGGGATCACTTCTTGCCGTAGGCGTACGTCTTCTGATATCCGCTGGCCTTCTTGTACTCGATCTTCTTCTTGGCGGCTGGAGGGGGAGGAGGAGGAGGTGGTGGCGGGGGAGCAGGAGCCGCAGCGGGGGCCGCCTAGAATGGCAGGTTTTTGGGGGAAAGTGTTTTAATAGTGTTTTCAACAACATTTGACTATATTTTAAATGGAAAAACAATAAGAAAAGCAGAGACGGTATTTCAAGTCGAAAAACGCGTCAAACTTATAAAATGCTGAAATTTTTTCGGATAGAATTTTTAGCCTCAGGAATAGTAAAAATAGTTTAAAACCATTTCTCTATTTGTACGAGACAATTCTGACCCTTATACCCCAGTTAATGCAAAAGAGCCTGATACCTTGGCGGGCTGCTTTCCTTTGCCGAAGAGTTCATCGTCAATGTCAATGTCGAGCTCGGCCGGCTTGTTCGACCCTCCGCCCACGTCCACCGGCACGAACGCGCTCTTGTCGGCCATCCTTCAAAAGACGGAAAACACGAACAACACCAAAAACCCGACGCTTTTTCTAGTCAAAAACTGATGTAAATTTGTTTCCGCTTGGTTCCGCTGTCCATTCGACAGTGATATTATCAAATTCTAATTTCATCACCCTAGAGGTTTTTTTAGGTCTATCCGAGCCAAGCTCGAAAGGGCGGCGCCAGCGACGCCACCGGAACTTTATGGACTCGAGAAATACGGTTGGTTTTTGTATTTTTTATTTTTCTGATTTGGTATATAATTGTATTCTATTAATTTAGTGGTTTTAAAACTTCTCAATTATATTTTCAGCGCGCCAACGATGGGAAACCGAAAAATTCGATAAAAATTTCCAATAAATGTTTGCGACTTCGTGTTTTTTCTTTTAGCAGGTGAATTGAACTTTGTAGTGTGAAATTCGGTAAATTTTGAAGTTTTGACTGTTAAAAAATTGCCATGTGAACTGAATTTTTAATATTTTCAACGCTTAACCAATCGAAAGTCCGAAAAACACCAACAGAAACTTTTTACGCCCTGTTACTATCTTCGACCTTATTGGATTTGTAGTTTATAATGTCAATTTGCTTAAATCTTAAACCTTTTATAGCTTTATTCATCAAATTTTTCCGATTGGGTTTTCCAGTCTAGCATCGCCACAGCAGAACTAACGCGACCGGGAATTGAAAAGCCAAACTGGCCGCATATTTTGTGGTGGTGGCAATCATCCCACTTGTCGTACTTTCTACCGACATTGTCGATGGGCCCATAGATGCCGTTGAACCTATAGAAGACGCCGTTGAACCCATAGACGCCGTTGAACCGATAGAAGGCGCCGTTGCACCAGTAGAAGATGCCGATGGCTGTTCACTGCTGCCCATCGTTGTCGTCGATTTTGGGCGTTGAGCGGGCGTTTGGGAGGAGGAGGGGTCGGTGGGTTGAGGGGAGGGTGAGGAGGCTGAGGTTGGGGCGGAGCTCGGTCCTGAGCTCGATCCCGAGCCCATCGTCGAGCCGGTAGTACTTGGTGGTGGGGTGGAGATGCTTGTTGAATCGTCAGGAAATGCTGTGCTGCCGGCCGGGGCTGAAAAACTCGATTTAAAGGGACAGGGAAGGCATGGTTTCAGCCGGATTTCGAAGGTATTATTTAGCTTTTCTGCAACCAACTTTTTTTTCTTAAATCTAAAAAATCCTACTATATATAAAAAAATAGTGTCTGTGTGTGTGTGTGTGTGTGCATTTGCATGCAACTTCCGTCACCGTGTCCGGAGAATATCTCAAGAGGGGAATGGTCTTAAGCTACATATGATACGTCATTAGGTGCGTAATGTCCACGAGATGACTGCACGCACATCAGATCTTAAAAAAATCCATAATTTTCGACATTAAAATGACGTTTTTGTTGTAAATTCGGGCAGCCTTCTTTGTTAGCAAACAATTAGCATACGCCGGAAGTGGCGGCAGCCTATATATAACGCGAGAGTGGCGTTTTCAATTTGCTCATCGCAATTCGAAAAAAATATGCAAAGCGAAGAAGTTTATGGGGTTAGACGGGGCCAGGGTTGAAAAGTCGCGAAGCGGCTTTTCAACCCTGGTTTAATAGTTAAATACTAAGCATTTTAATAAGGATTTTAGTGAACTTAGAAAACCATTTATTCGGCATTTTGGTCGAAAATTAGCAATTTTTGATCGTAGAAAATGGACATTTTTATATTTTTAATTAAAAGCTGTAAAGCTTTGACGTTTTAAGCTTAGGAATAATAAAAAAATCGTTTAGCAACTCTAACACTATTTATATTAGCAAAAAAGGACCCTTAGAAAAAAGTTGGTCCCCAGATATTGCGAAAGAACCCGATTTTCTAGCTTGCAACTTTTTAAAAGCTGTAAAAGTTGGTAAAAAACTTGTTAAAAACTTTATAAAATCTGGAAAATTTTATAGATCCAATAGAGCTCACATGATCCGCTCGTCCCCATTGAGCTGTCTGTCGGCGCGGCAACAACATTTTCAAGCAGTGCTACAACATTTTATTACTATTTTCAAATCCCAAGCCAAACTCACCAATGCAAACCATCAAAATCACCGTAACCCTCATGGCTTCACTATCAAAAACGGGTGGCAAGATGACGGCAAGTGGTAAGGCGAAGTAGACGCAGAAGCCGAAGCACAAATTCCTAAGCCGCTCAATTCCACAATCCAATACCCCTGACCGGCCGATAAGTGTTCTTTAAATATGGGTTCAGCCGCGTACCCCCGCCCCTGAAATATCACCAAATTTATGATATTACGTGGCCGACAGGGAACACCCTGAAAATCCTTCAACCGGCGTCTTTTTTGGAGATGATAGCGCCGCGGACACGTCACTAATTAGAAGAAGGGCGTTGGCTATTGTGCCCCGTGGTTAGTCGAACAAAAATACAATAAATTCGAGAAATTGTGGAGAAACTAATCTTTATAGGCGAGAGCAAATGATGCCGAGAAACTTCGCTGGAGCCCCGGCACCGGAAATTAGGGTCATTTCCCGTGGACAAGCCGTAGCTTTTCATAGATTATGGTAAGGAAAGATTGAGGAATCCGTGACATAGATCCGAACGACGTATCCATTTTGCGTCCTCCGTTTTATGGCCGGCAAGTCAGATACAGTCATAACACCGGCATTCCGTTGCAAAACCAGGCAAACACTGCCTATCCAAGCCACATACCGACGCGATCTGTTTCTGTTTCTTTCCCTGAAACTGAGATTTCAAATCAAAATTCGACGCTGACAATTAATATTCATATTTAACGACAACAATTTACTAGATCTGCAAAACAAAAGCGTGCATCGACGTTGGGAATTCCAAGACAACTCGATGAATGGGAGCGGCGGGAAGAGTCGACAGAAACGGGGAGATCCACCAACGGACAATAAACAACCCAATTGATGTATAAAGGATTCTAATAGCGGCGTGAGGGGTAGTCCGAGTAATTTCGAGCCGTTGTGTCAGACGGAGGGTCGAACACCGAAAAATCTAAAGAAAAGGGGGTGGGGGGAAAAGGGCTTGATGCTTACCGGGCTGGGCCTTGAAGCTAGGGCGGGAGCTGCCGGACGCCACTGAACCCCAGTCGAACGCGCTGAAAAAAATATGACTCACTGGAAGTAAAAAATTTGCACCTAAATCTCGGCAACAAATTGGGAATTTTGGCCCAAAAAATCAAAATTTGTAAAATTCTTATGTCTAGAAACCGTCGATTTCGGTGTAAAAAGTTTTCCAATTTTATTAGAAAAAGGTCCTAACGAAAAAGTTTTGAGAGCGAGCCGAAGGAAGGAAATTACCAATAGAAAAGTGAATGCGTAACAAACAAACCTCGAGGAACCGGGGTATGTGCTGGCTGCAAACGATGGCGCGGCAAGTCCGCGAGCTAAGGAAATTGTTAATTGTCAAAAAAACCTTAATATACCGTAATCTCCGCCATTGAGTGGGGCTGCGTAGGTGCTGTTAGTGATGCCAGTTGACGGATAGTCGCGAGAACTGCCAGATGAGGGATGGTAGGGGCGCGAGCTGCTAGATTCATATACACGGCCCGTGCTCGTCGAATGATGGCTGCTGGAAGCACCAGCCGACGGGGGGTAGCCTAGAATTATATTAAAAGGAACTCGAAGCCGACTTACGGGATGAATGATCCCTCCTGGAATCATGGCGTGGTGGGCTGCGCGTCGACTGATGGCTACGCTTGGCAGGCACGCGGGAAGATGCGTAAGAAGAACGCGAGTCGTTATGGCCGGATGATCTTAAAAGTTGGATTGAAAGCGGATAGAAGATGGGCCAACAAATTTTCAAAAATCGCTTTTTCGTAAAGTAATTTTAGAAAGTACGCTTTCTGATCCCAGAAATCTGAGCTATTTTCGACAAATCCCAGAAATAAAGACTTTCGGAAAGGTGTAAGTATGCAAATCCGAATAAATAGCGATACCTGGCATCGCGACCATGTGCTGTGTGACGCGCAGTTGGGCTCGATCCGTAGCGGCCACCGTCACGAGAGCGCGAGTCCGTGGCATGACGGGCAGTGTCGCGATCACGAGCAGAGCTGCTAAATTATGATATTTTTCGATGAGACAGACGGTACCTGCTATATCGATCCTTGGTGTTTCTAGATGACTGGGAATGACGCGTGTCATGCGAAGCGCTAAAAAATGAGGATATCAGATAGTGGAATAGCCAAGCTTACCGGCCCTCGGAATGTCGGGAAAGGGTGGCCTGTTGCATCAGCTGTATCTCAAGCCGCTGTCTCTCCAGCTTCTCCTTCTCGAACGCAATCTTGGCCCGTTCCATCTGAAGCTTGAGCTCCTCTTCTCGACGACGATTGTCTTCGGCTTGTCGACGCAGTTTGTCCTGTAGGCGGCCAGGAGAGATGTCACGCTCCCGGGAGCGACGAGAAATCGGCTTAAAACAGAAAAGTTGAAAGACATATTACAGCTAGCCGGCAACAACATTTGCGTTTTTGACATAGTTAATTCGATAACGCTTCAAATTTTCCGGAAAGTTTCTAAAAAAGGCGCCTAGTTAGGGTGTTACGCCCGATAAAATGAGCTGTGGCGAATTCAACGAAGTCATAATAACGTAAAATTTAATTTCTGTAAAAAGACTTACCCGAGATCCATATCTGCTGTGCGGGGCCGGCTCACGAGAAGCGTAGCTGACTCGCGGATTCAACGCGGTACGGCTGCCGGACGGGATCGGCCGGCGAGAAATTGGTGCGCGCACGATGCGGATCTCCCTCTGATATCCACCACTGGAGGCATGGCCGCGCGGGGCATTGTCTGAAAACAAGGTATGCGTGAGTGGCCAGCTAATAATCTAAAAAAATAACAGTTGAAGGCAATTTAAATGAGCTGCAAAGAGTAGCCACAAAAAGTTTCCTTTCGAACTGTGGGGTCCAAAAAACTTGGATTCAAAATTTTAAGGTCCCCGTAGATCAAAAATCAAGAACAAAAAGAGGCAAGGGACAGGCGCGAAAAGCAGGGCTCGTGTTTCAATTCGATCGCTGGCGGGTTTTCAATTTCATAATTCTGGAGGCCTAGTCGATCGAACGCTGCACGTTGTGCCATGCGACTTCATCGGTCAGCCGTTTCGACAGAACCCCATCGAACGGGATGTTTCCGAGTGGCTGGTAGAAAGTTGAGAGCGATGTAGGGAACAGGCGAAACATATTAACCGACCACGGCTTCGAACTGCTGCAGGGGCCACACGACGGCGTCGATCTTCATCGCGAGCACGTGTAGAGGTGATTGCCGTTGCCCCGCGTCTTCGGATCGAAGTGGCCAGTGCCTTCGAATCCTTGGCAGGACGTCTAGAGGAAGTTTGAAGGGAGCGGCGGTCCGATTTCTTGGCTGAACTGTGCGCCCGTTCGGGGGAGTCCGACTTTGGCGGCCCTTCAACTGGCTTCCGCTTCGGTGGCGCGGCGACAGCGGGAGTGGTCGGAGCAGCAGTTGAAGTAGTCGTTGTGGTGCCAGCCATCAGAGCAATCGCTCTCTTCGCCGGCAAACGACTCTTATCCGCCTGAATGTACGACTGAATTATTTTCACGCAGCTTCACTTGACCACCACAGTCTTTTCGAAAAAAACGAAGGGGCGTCAATAAAAGTAGAGTCGTACCCGCTCAGCAGTAATCGTTTTCTCCTTGAAGTCGGTGTTGGTAAAGTGAGCGACCGTTCCGTCGACAAGAGCTGCATCATGCAGCAGAACGAAGCCGAACGTGACGTCAGCGCCGGCTTTCTTTGAGGTGAACACCTTTGCTCCATCGACTTGAGCGTGACTTGTGACGTGGTGCTGAATGAAAAATTAGTTATTAGGAAAAAATAATCCTGTCACCAAACGAAAATTAGGCGGTCCGGCATAATCTTCAAAATCGATACCTTGAGGTCAGCGGCGGAGGTTCCTGGTGGAAGATTCCTAATCCAGAAAGAACGGGCCATGTAATCGGCGGGGCTTGGCTGGGCCGCGCTAACTTCTTCCGGCGGCTCTTTTGGCTCCTCAGGCTCCTGCTCGTGCTCTTGCTCCTCCTCTTGTTCTTCGGCGACGGCTGGCAGCGAAGTTTCGGCAGCCTTTACTCAACGTTATAAGCTAGAAAGGCCCCCAGCGGCGTACTAACACCCAAATCTGTCGCAACAGCCGCAAACATAAAAGATTAATGACCTGGTCGGGGCGCTGAATCGTGTCGGCGGTCGCTTCATCGTCACCATTCATCGGCTTGTCAACCGCTTGCTCTTCTTCCATAATTGGGTCGCTTGCGTCGACGGGCTGCACAACCTTAACCTCATTAGCAACACAACAAAATTGGCACTTACCTCCTCATTCCCATTTGCTTCATTTTCTTCTTTCACAGGATCGTCAGCAGCTGTCTAAACGGCTGGAGTCTTGTTTTCAACGACGAGCTACCTGTTCCACTGGTTGGCCCTCGGAATCAGCTGCTGCTGGCTCATTAACTGAAAGGCGAAAAATCAGCCGTTGCAACTAAAACTACCGGGTTCTTTCGACGGGCCCAGGTCAAATACATAGGAGGCGGGATCGTGGCCCTCTTCGCGAAGCGCCTGAAAATCAATTTATTAACCAATTTTTTGGGTTGTTCCGATGCCCTCTAGGGACAAGCTTTTTCTATAAGCAGCGACAATGACTACATTTGACCACGTCTTCGAATTGCCTACCGGCGCCAAAGGGTTTAATTACCGCGGCGAGGGAATTTGATTTTACGTGAGACAACTCGCCCCCCCCTAGTCCCCACCCCTCAGCCAGTATAGCACATTGTATTGACGCCGCTTTCGATTTTTCCCATTAACTGGCGCCAAAAAACACAGCAGCACCCTTCCGAGAATCTATTGATCATAGCCTATATATTTACTGTAATTGCTTCACCGTTAAAATTTTTCATCCCACCACTTTTACAAGATATAAACGCATCCAAGATTGGCAAAGCTACCGTAACTCAATAGCCGTGTTTTGCGTAAATTTCGTTTGTGTTGCAGGGAAGACACCAAAAATGGGAGCCTCTACCAGCAATATATGCTCGCTATCTAAAAATCCCGCCGATACTTCACCCCCGAAGGCACCGCAATCTTGGAAAACCATACGGCAAGGTAAGCTTTTAGCGAAAAATAGGATGTTCACAATTTGGGTCCTGACATTTGCGGACCCATTTTTTTTTACTCGACAACTTCAAAAAATGTTTTAATTCTTCAGGGACAATTCCGGTCCGGATTTTTTTTATTAGGATAAAACGGGTGGAAAAATTTAGAAGTTTTTATGGTAAAATTTTTACTTTTATAGAGACAATTGCGACCCTATTTTTTATGCAGAGTTAATTTTTCGAAAGCCACTGGTTAGCGCTTAATCACGTTAGCTAAACAGAAAAATGACTTAAACAAATATTTAATTCTGCCGAATTAGGTTTTAAGCTACAGCTTTTGGGCCGCAAGTGTCGGGTACCCTAAGTTAGCCCGGTTTGCGAAATGTCAAAGAAGAGGACCCCCCCGACCAGACGATCAATTACTATTTTGCGTTTAGCACAGCTCTCTCAACCAAGTTCCATTTTTTCACGATTCCATCGAGCAATGCATCTTAATTAAGCCTCGGTGGGCGGCATCGGAGCTCGCGGATCCGTGGTTTCGGTCAATGTGCAGTCGGTGCCGAGACGAAAAATCTCTTCCCGGTTTGGGAAGGGTCGGGGCGTGGCCTGGGGACTAGCATCTGGCCGCATACACGCTATGAACGCCCAGCTCATCCAGCTCCGCTGTGCCAACGGCGACATCGTAACCACCCCCGAATCCGTGGCCAAGGTTTGTCTCTAGCCCGCAATTATTTTCAACCGCGGCGTTTTCAGATCCCCCGCATCGTGGACCCGAATTTTTGCGCCAATTCGGACAAGTACATCCTGTGCTACATTTTGGAGGCGTTGAAGCGGGAAGACCATCGCTTCATTGTTCCGGATGACTTTGTGGCCTGGGCGTCATTGAGGTAAGTGAGGGCCGGTAAACCGCGCACTAAGACATAAATCTATGTTAAGCGAGCGCTTATTTACGGATTTAAGGCTCTATTTCTTCGCTCAAACTTCTTTCACGAAACTTTCCCCCGGCTCAAAAATTTCATCAAATTTAGGAACGAACTCCGCCGCCTTGGCCTTGATAAAATGGCGACAATGGATGCTAGCCCCCATACAATCACCATTTCATGCCAAGCAGCCCTGTCAATTGGACGCCTAAATCCGGAAGTCACCTTCAGAAAGGTTCTTACTTCGTTACCAGCGCCCGCCCCGTGGGCCCCCCACTCACTCAGCCAAATTAGATTCTTCGGATCGTGGTATGCGGAAGGGTGGCTATTTGTCGGGATGTGTTCGAGGACCAGTTAAACGAAGCCCGGGACAGTGACGCTACGGAGGATAAATACACATCGCGCTTTTTCCTCAAGCATTCGCAGCTTGAACGGTGGGTGAAATAACAGCGTTTTTGGGGTTTTTTTTATTACCAGGGGTGGGGACACCGCCATTTTCTTAAATAATCGAATATGCGCATAGAAATAAAATATAAGGCCCCTCCGTAAATTTTTAATAATTGCTGACCCCACAGCGCATTTAAAGGGCTGCCGACGGCATGTGTCGATCCCCCCTCATCAACAAATTGGCAAGTAGCCAACAGAGCAGAGAGCGCGCCCGGGTAAGAGGCGCAGAGACATTTTCTTTCCAGCGCGTAACTGATTGACTATGCCGTCGGCATCCCTTTAAAATTTTTCAAACAGCTAATACCTGGAAGGTTTTCAAGTTCGCGGTCATTTTCAGAAGTTTCTGCCCTAGAAGTAAATTTTTTCGAAAGTTCATAGCTTTATCCAAACTGTTTCTAAAATAAAAAATGGTTAGAAATATTATAAAATTCTTAGAATCGATTAATGCGCCGCGATGGCGCCGAAAGATTTTCCCAGCGTTCCCGCAAACACCGAAAGATCCAGGGTTTTTCAAAAAATAGCTAAAACTCTGTTGCAAAGCCGCAGTCGATTTGCTATTTCGTCTGTGACAGGTGGGAAGACGTGGCGTTCCATCATTTTCACGATTGTTTTCGTGGGCGCGGAAGAGCCAAGTCTCCAGGCCGCCAAAAGCAGTAGGGACAAAAGAGAGACCAAATTCCCAAGCGCCCCATTCGGCATCTCGGAGAATAATCGGCGTCCGCTTTTCACCCCAAAGCTCGCATGGGAGCCAAAAGAGGGAGAAGACGGCGGAGGGGTGGCCACGAAAAAACTATTCCATGCGCAGAGGGGAAGCATTAGGGGGGGCGCTCGAGCCGCAGTGGGCTCTCAAAAGTTTTAGGAAGCGTGGAAATATTGACATCGGCCCCCTAGGGTTACTAAAGAGGGGGCAAAGAGGGCCACACGCCGACCACAGCAATAGCTTTCAAAAGCAGACGGACGCTAGATTTTGACAAGCTTCGGGAAATGTGGTTTATAACGGGGTAGGCGAAAAAAATTGTGAAGATGAAAACTTATACTACTGAAATCTTAGGGGTATACTACTAAAATAGCAGGCGCCGTTCCAACGTATCCATTAGCTGAAATCCTCTATCGATCCGTAATTACCGGCACCATAAAACATAACGCGACGGGGCTTTTTTGCTTTCTCTAAAAACGGGTGCATCTCAGACAAGGGGCCCTTTGCTCCCGGGGACATGATGAATAGCCGAATCTATTGCGCGGCGGTTTGAATAGCCCAATCATCGCGTGCCTGAAGCCCTTTGTGCCAAACAGAAACATCTCCTGAATAATTGAGATGGATGGGGTGGTCCTAGCCGACTCACGATTTAGAAAAAATTTGGCAAACGGTTTTTGAACCTAGGGATTTTGAAAAATGCCAAATATTGGGAGAACATAAAATATAAAAATTGCGAGTGACCTATGTTTACGAAAACCCAATACCCCCTTTCATTATAGAGCCTTCGATGCCCTGGGCCTAAAAGGCTTTCGCATGGTCGGCTCGTCGACGTTCGCCCCACAAGTGCCACAACAGAACGACGAGACCACTTTTCTGCACCACTCTCAATTTGTCTTCACGCGCCTTCCCGGGGTAATTAGGCTGCACCTCCCCGCCTAACGAGCACAACACCCATTTTCAGCAAGCACCGATCTTCAAAGAAAGCCAACAGCAGTAAGGGCCCACCTTCTCCAGCCGATCCTGCAGGATGAACTTTATGCCTTGTATGCCAAGGTTGCGCTGGCCCAGTTGGATCTAAAAACAAGTTTTATACCGATTAGTATGCTAGCATTCTGACCTTCAATTCCGCTCCGGTGAGCTCTCTCAATTGCTTCTGCTTTTCTACCGGCATATTCTGAAGATTTCGTAAAAGCAATCACAATTTTTTCAAACACAGAATCCGGCATCAAACCAGTGATGATTTGAGTGAGTCACAAAAAAATGAATAAAATATTTATTCTTTCAATACGTGCAAGGTACCTATTTTTCAATAAAACCACAAATTCCATCGATGAATGCCTTGGGCTGGTCGGCGTGGACCCAATGGCCGGCCTCTGCGATCGAATGGAACTCCACCTGAAAAAAAAAGAAAGTAATTTCCTAACCAGTAAAAACGTAGCAGTTTCTGTGATGTTAAAATTAGGATACCTGGGGAAATAGATTGCGAATCAGAGGCCGATCCGTATCCGGAACGTATCCGCTACGTTCTCCGTAAATGAAAAGAGTCTTCCCGCGGAATGCTCCCACCGGCAGATCACATCCCAGCAGTTCGCCAAAATGCTGTCCGATCGCGTCCAAATTGACCTGGAATTCGTAAAAAAAACTGGGGCTAATTCTGTGTACCTTCCACTCAAAGCCCCCGTCACTCCCAGCACGCAGATTAGTTAGTAGAAATTGTCGGATAGGCAACTCCGGGACCTAAACTGCTTATTTCTTGATTTAGTCAGACTTCAATACCGCTTTTTCCAAGTCCTTGGAAATATCTTGTCTCGATTTGCGAAGATTTGCAGACTTCATGGCGTCTACGTAGTCCCTATAAATTACAGCTAAGAATCTAGCCAAAAAAATATACTTGAAAAGGTGAGAGCTGATCGAATAGCCTTTCGGGCTGACGTCCTCGATTATCAGACGATCAAGCAGATGACCACCGTTTGGATCTAAAGCAAAATACTTAAATTCAACATATATCATGCCAATCGCAAGACGCATCGCCACTTTTCCACCCATACTGTGGCCCAACAAGTTGACCTTCTTGAAGCTGCCTTCATCGCAGATCTGAGAGCTTTGGGCCTGGTAACGAAAAGCTTATAGCCAAAACCTTTTTGATCAATTTCTGCACATCAGCCGCTTGCTCGGTGTACGACATCGATGGGATATGAGGAGCATCACCATGGTTCCTAATAATAAAATACCTTCTGGAAGCAGAATAAAACCTCAAATCCACAGCATATACCACGTTGCCTAGGCGTCGCTGTATAGCCTTTCCCACCGAATTCCAGTTCGACTTCTGTCCGAATAGTCCTAGAATGGAATCGTCATGAAACGGTAGGCTATAGGCAAAAACCGTGACATATCAGCAGCGGCGCGTGCTTGCGGTCGGCTTCAAGCTCTCCATATCTTGTGAACGTCAAGTCAACCGCGTTCGCAGCAGAAATACCTGTAAAAGAACAAAATTTCTCGGAATTTTTCGCTCTTCGCTCAACAGAAAAATGTCTTTTGGCAAGTGTAGCCTGAACGTCTAAAAAAATCGTGACGGGGTTTCGTATTCTGAAATAGCGCGTGAATTTCTGGTGGCCGGAGGTCGGAAAATACGAACCGCGCTACCTTAGATCGTATAAAAACGGAGGAAAATGGCGGTGCTTAGAAGTTCATAAAGTAATTTCTTCTGTTCTCAAACTATTTTTAGAGAGCAGCAAGGGTCGTATTTTCCAGGTGGCTTTCACGGCCTGGCCAAAATCAGGCCAGATGTGACCTCTGATCTGCCGATTGATTAGAAGGCTTTGGCCTGAACGTCTTCAACGAGTCATTAGTGTTCATCTACCAACCTCGAGTCTGTAAAAGGCCGGGATCGATTCGTCGGGGAAGGGAAAACAATCGCATCGCCAAGTCTGCGCAATGTCCTTTTCGTTGCGAAGTTGTGTTGCGCCGTTTGCGCACCAACAGACTGTCATTAGTATCATTCGGCGTGCTCATTCATTCAAAAGTTCTCGGTTAGTAAAGCGCCCGCGGGCGCGCCCGAAATTGCGCCCGCGGGCGCGCTCACGGGCGCGCCCTCGGGCGCAATGGCCAAAAGCGCCCGCGGGCGCGCGCCCCAATCGCGTTGTAACGGCGTAGGACGGGTTCTTTTAATGCTTTTATTATTTAAAAAAAGGGCACTACATCACTTTTTGCGATGCTGTACCCTACATACTTAATGTATACTTAATGTAGATCTTCACGTTCCCTGAGAAAATGGTCGTACTGCGCACCTGAAATATGTTTTTTTTGCTTTTTTGGCTTTAGCTTCGTTTGGAACTTACAGATACGTTCGAATGCGCGATAGATGGCCCCTAAAAGTATAGCTAATTACATAATTTCCTTTATAAACTTCGTAATTCGCACTTACTTTGTTCCCGCTTCCTGAAAACTTGCTTTGACTTGCTTCTTGCCGACTTACTTTGCAACTCCGCCCAAAGATACCGGAAACGTCGCGCTTCGCATTTGCAATGATGACCATGATCGTCTGAAAGGTCGGCTCATATAAATCGAGAATCTATAAATCTGAATCTAAAGTATTTTTAAAGTTTCGCAGGGACTGGTTGCGTAGCAAAACTTTACCTTCGTTACCTGCGCCATGGCGCTTCAAAGTATTGTATTCTACATTCGACGACGATAACCAAGCAAATCTAGTAACGTTTGTGCTAATTTATATTAATTTTAAACAAAAATAAGTGCATAAGCCAGGAACTTAGCCGTTTTTTTGCAGAATTGAAAGGTGTTCACCATTCAAATGCGCCCGTGGGCGCGCCCCTAGTTGCGCCCATGGGCGCTTTTTGCGCCCCGAGCGGTTTTGCGCCCTTTTGCAAAAATTTCGCCCGGGGCGCAAAAGGGTCCAGTTCGGGCGCGCTCGCGGGCGCTTTGGGTTTTCGGGCGCGCCCGCGGGCGCTTTGCTAACCGAGTTACGCACTCTAACCAACCTTTATAAACCTCTATACATCTTCACAATACTTTATTCTGTTCAGCAAATTTGAATTTACAGTGGGTATTCTTCGACGATGCCTCGCCGCGAAAGTTCCAGCCCTGAAGACAAGAAGCCGCGGAAGGAAGACCTGGATAACGAAATTCGACGTCAGAGTTAGTTTTTAGTTTCTAACTTTTTACACAATTTTTCTAGGGCGCCGCTCCAGATCGAACGACTCCAGATCTCCACCACGGCGCGACGACAGGAGGAAAGAACGCCGTGAGGTCAAGGAAGAACCCAGGAGCCCGAAGGCTTACAGGTAACGTACTTTTGACAGCCTAAGCCTCGCTTTTACAGCTCACGTAGACCATCGCCTCGACGCCGAAGCAGATCACCGAGGTCTGTTGGTTTTTTGAACGCCATTTTGGCTACGGTTCAATTAAGAGGGGCGCATTGCTTTTCGGCTTTCTATGTGATTTCTGGGATTCAGCTATGAACTTTGCTTAGCCGTTTTAAAGCTGGGCTTGTGCTCGGATTAGCTGGAGATTTCATCCAATAATCCCAAATCAAAACTCGAAAACAAATTGTCCCATCCCAACTAGAACTATACTCTTTTTTTTCAGACATCGTAGCCCTGCTGCTGCCAGTCCGCCCCGACGGCGCCAATCCCCACGCCGTTCTCCTAGGTTTGAACAGTGTGTTAGTATAATAATAATTTTTAGAAGGGACCGTTCTCCCGACCGAAATCGTGACCGGGGTGGCCGAGATGGTGAACGACGCCGGTTTGTATCATATGCATGTCTCTGAAGATGTGTTTTTAGAAGTCCTAGGCCCGATAGACGCAGTCCAAGGCCGGAACGCGAACGGTTGGTTTTAGATTCTTTTATAGCAAATTTTTTATTTTTAGACCTGGATCACGCGAGGAGAAAGGTCGTAATGAACGTGGTGACGAATACGGGCTGAGCAAAAGTAAGTTGATAATGGAGATTATTGAAAACTTGCTTTCCAGAGGAGAAGGGTCCGAAGAAGGAGATTTGGGGAAAGCCGGAGCATTGGGAAAAGCCGAAGGAAGAGGAGATTCCGCCGGAAGAAAAGCAAAAAGTTAACCTGGGCCTCTCGGGAAAGCTGGCCGAAGATACTAATCTGTTCCGTGGTGTTGTCATCAAATACAATGAGCCGCCCGAGGCGAAAAAGCCAAAAACGAGGTAAATGTTTCGAATGGCCTAGAAAATCCGGGAATTTTTTCCGGCGTTTGTGTTAGTGGGGGATCAAAGCCATATCGGAGGCACAAAGCAAACGTTTGCTCAGAAATATAAACGAGAACGACCAAAGCTCGCCACCGATTGCTTTGAAAACTTTTATACTTCTACCTATACTTATTTTAGTTTTCTTACCCGCGTCCGATGGCAATTAATATTATTTTTTCAGATGGCGCCTCTATCCATTCAAAGGCGATGAAGCCCTTCCGACTCTCTACGTGCACAGACAATCAGCCTATCTGGTCGGCCGTGATCGTGTGGTGGCTGATCTGCCCGTTGACCATCCCTCATGCAGCAAGCAGCACGCCGTCTTGCAATATCGGTTTGCTGAGACACTGGGTAATCATTAATTTTTCTTCCAGGAGTGTGCCGTACACTCGTCCCGATGGCGTCGTGGGGCGCGCAGTACGTCCATACATCATCGACCTTAGCAGTGGCAATGGAACATTCCTGAATGGCGAAAAACTAGAGGCGCAACGGTAGCGATTTTTACGGCGATTTGTAAAATACAGCCGGTACAGCCGTTTCGAATTACATGGTAGGTGGGCAGCCACCCAGAGAAACACCCACAATTGCTATCCGACTGTACCGGCTTATTTTACTAATTGCCATTTTTACAACGTCCGCGATTACCACTATGTTTTCAGATATTACGAGCTGCAGGAGAAGGATATTTTGAAGTTCGGCTTCTCGAGTCGAGAGTTCGTCATCTTGAGCGAGCGGTCCGCCGAACAAGAAGGAGGGTCAAGCGAAGGCGAGGGCGATGATGAAAAGCCCGGAAGCCCATGATCCTCACCCGCCAATATTGTTGATTTTCTCATGTTTCAAAAAAATTGATTTGGAAGCTCGATAAACGTTTGACTCCTGAAAAACGGTTTGCTTTACATTGAAACCAATCCCCCTACTTCCGGAAGCGCATGCAACTCGATCGTCTAAACACAGCAAATGAAAACCGGAAAATGTATCTTTCGTGGGTGGCATGAAAATTCTCAAAGCAAAGTTTAAAATAATTTATAACAAATTGTAATCCAATGAGATTGCAAGAAACGTATACAACATAAAGCAAGTAATAGACAACAAATTCGAGAGCAAAGGCATCCATTCGGCAGCGGTCTTTGCCTTCGAGTAATTTATCTTCGAGTACCATTCTCCTCATTTGGCATTGAACGGCCGCTGAAGCGCTAAATCGTCAATATATTCAAGAATTTCGCAATCCGTGCAAAAATTTAGCCAAAAACAAAGTTATACGAATATGATTACCTTCGATCGCTTTTCCGGTATGGCTGGCGGGTCGCTGTACCGTTTGTCGGCCTTCCTCTTTGATGTTTCAGGGGTGTTCGCTGCTCCTTGTTTCATCTTTCGCGTGGCGCTGGGTGACTAGAAAAGGGAATTCAAGATTGTTTACAATTCTTCACCTTCGACTCCCGGGATACCCGCCTCTGCGTGTTGTTCTTCAAGACGTTGACCAGTAGTGCCGTCTTCTATAAAAAGCTTATTGACCCGGCGGATAAATCTTACCTTATTTCCGCGGGGAATTGGAGTCTTGCAAACGAAATTGAACTTCAACTCCAGGTTGCCTTGCCTAGAAAAAGTTAGAGACACGAAAGAGGTTTACTTTGCAAATAGCGACCGATCCAGTTCGTAATCGCTAGGCTCCGCTTGCTTCAAAAACAATGCCATTTCGGGCCTGAGCTTGTAGTTCGCGAAGCAATCTGAATAGACCAGATAATGAAGAAATACATCATCGCCAATGTCGGCACAACTTGGAAAACCACCAAATAGCAGAACCTAGATAAACGCTGCGGCCCTGGGGTTCATCCTCGACTTTAGCAGAAGACGTAGAGGGAGCGTTGGTTTGCTGCGGTGGAATAGGCTCGGCAATCTCTGGGATAATTTCTTCAAGAGGCTCTTCTTCTCTTTGGGGCTCTGGCTCGTCTTCCTTAAGTGGCACTTCTTCTTTGAGGGACTCGTCATGTGTTGCGCTCGGCATCGCAGGAAGCTTGCTCGTTGATTGGGCGTCGTATGGTCGTTGTGGTGGCGCCTAAAGAAAAACATATACATCGAAAAACTCCTCAATACCTGTTCCAGTTTCACTATCCGTTGTGCTTGATCCGCGGTATACTGCTCGAGCGCCGAAATAGTTTCCTCCAGTCGAGTACGGATGTCATCCTGTTCTTGCAACCAAGTCCTATCCACAATCCTTCTTTCCCGCCAGGCCTCCTCGCTGAGCAATAGCCTTAAAACGAGCACTTTACTTCCGAAAAATCACTGACTCAAGCGCCATCTCCTGGGTCTTGTGACGCTCCTGCGATTCTTCCAACGTTGCAATTTCTCTTTGCTAAACAAAATTCAAAATTATTTGAGGCAAAACCCACAATGAGCATTTTGACATCACGTCTCTCGAAGAAAAAATCTAAAAAGCTCAATTATAGGATGGTTAACAGGCCATACCTGGTAGGGATGCTTCATATGCCATATACTCGCGAAATATGCCATGGCCCTAAACATAATTCAAATATCGCTACGATCATACCAGCAAAATTTCACGGAACGGCGAAAGAATGTCGAACACCTTCATAGTGTGATTGTGAAGTTGCCCTTTTTCGGTAGTGACGCGTCGCTAAATCAAAATAACATCGAGAATCGGGATCGCACGTTTTCTTGTTTTAGAAATCGGAGGGCTTCCTTCAAATCCTCGCGTTCTTTCTAAAAAAAAAGATAAATATTCGAAACAGCAACGCCCAAGGACGAAAAGCAATTGGTGAAGGAAACTTACGATGACGTTCTCCAATAGCGGCTTGTCGGGCGCGGCTACATCCGCCATACTGGTCGATGGCGTCCAGGCGGCTGGCTAAAAATAAATATTGGAGTTTCGTGGGACAAACTTACGATCGGGGCGAAATTCGCCGTACCTCCATTTTGCATCTTGGCAGCGCCGGCTGAAATAATTCGGTTCTTTAGGATTCCCGGGGGGGGAAAGTATTCCCGGGGAAAACAAATTTTTTTCGGCGAAAGCCTAGATTTTTGTATAAATTGCGGATGCGTTTCTAAATTGTTTTTAACTATTCCTGTGCATAAAAACTACACACATTTAAAAAAAAATGTAAAAAGTCAAAAATTAGGCCGAAAAAAAGACCCAAAATGACCAAATTTTCAACTTTTCAAACATTTTTTTTAAAATTTCTGAAGAAAGTTATTCCGCTCTAAAAATAGTTAAAAACTTCCAAAAACCATTCGAAAACACTTTATATTTGAATACTAGGCCCCCGGGGCCCAGGGAAAAATTGGTTTCCCCCCCCGGGAATACTTTCCCCCCCCGGGAATCCTAAAGAACCAATAATTCAAATTAGAAGAAGGTATGGAAAAGAAGTGACAAGTTAAAAGAAGGAAGAAAAGGAAAAACCTGCGAAGTGAAAAGAAGAACAAGGATTATTGCGCCCAGGGAAAGCAAAGCATTGGAAAAATCTGCAGAACCTGCTTTTTCAAAACGATCAGGAGTAACACGTTTCGAGAAGTGAAAAGGAGGGAAAAGAATTATTGCGCCTAGGAAAAGCCCGGTTTAGGAAAAACCTGCAGAATCTGCACTCGCAAAACCTCCAGTAGTAGAACGCCTAAAGAAAAGCCGTAAAACGGAAAATCTAATGTCCGATCCCCGCCCGCTAGCGGCAGACAGCGCGCTGTCTGCCGTCCGTCCTCGGTGCGGGATCCGCGTCATTTGGTGTAGCGCGGAACGGACGTTTGGGATTTACGATTTTTGCGCAGATCCTAGCCCCAGGACAGGTTTCGGGACCAAGACCGTCCCGCTGGGGATTAAAACTTCAGGACGGTTTCGAACGTGTATGAGACCCGAACCGTAGGAAATTCTTCAATCAGAGATGAGGGTATTTGAATGAAGATTTCAGCAAAGTTCGATTTTAAAGGAAAACAAAAACTATCGAAAACAGGTTGGGAAGCTTCAAGTAAATTTGAGAGTTGAACGGTGGTAGGGTATTGGCGGTGCGATGCGTTGCCTCAGCTGTCTCTCCTTGGCTCGCGTAAGCAGATGTGTGCTCGCCAGTTCTTTAGTGCCGCTTATCCCGCTCGAAACACCTTATAACATTTCCTTCTTAAAGTTTTGAATTGATAAACGGAAACTGCTCTTCCCTGAACGGCCTGATATCATTTTAACAAAAAATGACCCATCAATTTAAAATTAGCCCAACTTATTAATAAATTTTGGTCCTAACAGGTAATTAGTAAATGTGGCACGGTAATATTGGTTGAGCAAACTTTGTGTAATAACCAAAACGATGTTAGCTATCTATGGATACGTTATAATAAGTAATTTAAAGGATCAGAACCAGCTTGATCGTGCTACAAATTATTTTCGGGCAGAAAACAATTTCTGTTCATTAATACAAGTGTGCGAACCTGCGAGATTTGCAAAATGTCGTCTGAAAACTAGAATTTCGCTTGGCGAAGTATTTTGGGGGATAAGAAGCACCAGTGAAACCGAGCGAAAGTTGTTATTTTTGTGTTGCTTGCTAAAATGTTTTAGTTGTAAATAATTTAAACCATTTGTGATTTCAGGAAGGATGGAGAAGGCGGTCGAGGCAAACGCGGCTCCACCACCATATGAGCCGGTAGGTTCTAGGAATATCCGGTCGATTCGAGGTCTTTTTAGACACCGACTCAAATTAACGGAACCGCCGCCTATCCGACGCAGCCTTCTGGCGTCTATGCACCTTCTGGCGTCACCGACATACCCCCGCCATCACCTGCCCAGGGTAACTCAGGGGGCAACGTTTTTCTCACTATCTAATTTTTCAAATATAAATAGTGGTTCTAAACGGTGTTTTGCTATTCCTAAATACAAAAACCTTATAAATTTTGCCTAAAAACTATCAAAATTCCCGATTTTTCGACCAAAAATGGCCGACTTATGTCCAAAATTTTGACTTTTTAAAAGGTTTTAGATAGCTCTTCTAACTTAAATATCGTGATATTTTACTAAAAACACCATGAAAACCCTGTCTATTGAGTTACTAGACATTTCTGGACCTACACAAAACTTCGCCCCCGATAACGTGAAAGAACCGGATTTCAGGCCCCAATCGCCAGCCCATCTTCCTTACCGCTCGCACCTGTGTGTATGGGCCAGTTCCGGTGGAAATGGACTGTCCACATTGCCAGGTTTGTCAGCACTTTTTCAACATCTCCCTGGGCACAATTTCAGGTTCACATCGTCACGCACATGGAAAGAGTACCCGGCATTTTACCGTGGATCATCTTGGCCGTGTGTGTGGTCCTCGGATTTCTACTCTTGATTCCATTGTAGGCATTAAAGCACTGGTTCTTGAAACAAAGATCTTTAGTTTCCTGTGCTGCGTGCCCTTCTGGATCGACGCGTTCCTCGACGTGATCCATAGCTGCCCGGCGTGCAAGCGACAACTCGGGCGCTTCTCCAGGATCTAGGCAACCCCCTCAAAAGTGATTACCAATCTCAAATCAGAGCGTCCAGCCTAGAATTATTTAGAAAGTATGAATCTAAAACAAATGGGCTCGATGTTCAAAACACCTTGAAAGATTTTTTCATGTTCTAGATGAGTAGCCTTCATTCTGATAAATCCCAGACAAGTATTATCGTGATTCTCCCCGACCCATTCTCATGCAGATCTATAACATTTCCTGTTTCTACTTAATTTTTCACGTTCTCATCCTAAACTATGCATAATCCGACTGTGATTGCGAGCCGCTGTCATCCATATTGCCTTGCCAAGCATAATTCCCTAATAGCCGGCATGATAATAAAAAAATCGTTATTACGCGGACCTGTTTAAAATTACAAATGAGCAATAGCTCCAACGGTGTATCAGCTAGATCTCACAAGGACTTCGAAACAGAACTCAGCTTATTTTATATAGAATTTTTCGCTGATTCTAAAATTGTTTTTTAAAAGCTGCAAAATGGGGTTCGAAAGGCATAAAGCTCTGAAGCACTTTTTGTCCAAAATTCCTCGATTATCTTCATCTTCCTGGGTGATTTTCTAAAAGTGAATCACGTTATCATTACAGAAAACTTGACGAAAAACGACGCATTTCTCACACCGGTAAACTGCGGCTTAGAAGTTGGAAGTTGCCATGTTTTTAGAAAATTAATTTGCAAAAATTACAGGTTTCATATCACGCACTTGGCGCAAAAAAATAGAAAATACGTACCTTTCATCTCCAATGATTCTGAAAACTTACCTGTAACATTTTTCTTGAATGTTTCACATCATCATAGTTTTACAATCCCTCATGCGGCGATGCCCGCCTCTGCGTGTCTTCAAGGTGTTGACCAGTAGTGGCGTCTATAAAAAGCTGATTGACCTCGAGGGTAGATCTTACCTTGTTTCCGCAGGGAATTGCAGCCTTGCACACAAAATTGAACTTCAACCCTAGGTTGCCTTTCCTGGGAAAGCCGTTCAGAGACGCGAAAAGGGTTTACTTTTCAAAGAGCGGCCGATTTAGTTAGACATATGGGTCAAATGGCGTCCAGCACGTCGGCTAAAAAAAAGCATTGCTGAAAGCTGAAAGCATTTGAATTAGAAGAGGGTAAGAAGTGACAAGTGAAAAGAAGGAAAAGCGGAGTTTCGGGAAAATCTGCAGGATCTGCGGCATTCTATTTTGCTCACCGAGCAGCGAGCGCAACAAGCCCCTAAATAATGCACGCCCTAAATGTTTAGTGCTGGCCATGATTTTTGAGACGCTGTTTCTTTTGTGCGCCCCCACGCGAGCCTGATCGAGCCTAGAATGTCGACACGGGAAAACATAGGTGGCCCCATGCTGCAAGTTTTGGGCCTAACCGTATCCATCCGCGTGGTCGTTCACATTCGGGTGATCGGGCTGTCGCCCATGCCAACTGGGGGATTTTAGTGAGGGAGGATGTTGTTTCGACGCTCACAAATGAGCAGAAACGTTTATGAGGTTTTCACTCCTTTTTGGCTACTCCTCTACTTTTGCGGCGCGAAACTTGCGACGCAATTTTGGCTACTTCTAGAAATCAGTTGGAGAACTCGATTTGATATTTATTTTTGCACCTGGAGCACCTGAATGAAGTCCCTAGTAGCCGCTAATGTTCGCGCCGCAAGTGGCGTCACCACTAGGACCACGCCCCAAATATCAGGGCACCTTCGCTTCAAGTAATCTATCCAAAAAGATAAAAATCGGATCTTTTGATGCATAAAAAGCTGTTTCTTTTTGCACTATAAAAGTATTTTATACCTATTCGTAGGTAAAAACACTTGCAGAGCTTAATTCTGGTAGATCTTCGTTCGCTCCTTTTCAATAGGAATTTACTGGGCAAAGGTCGGTTACTCAAAGGGGCATCGTTTCAAAAAGCGAAGACGTGTCTGGTTTATTTGCTCACAATGTAATCGCTTTTTCAACATTGTCGTCGCCGACAGGTGTGCAAACCAACGTCTCGCCGGGAATTCCCCGCATGTCCGGTGGATCTGGTCCGCGGCCACCGCCTCGAATTACTAACGAAAATTCGCGCTTTAAAGCTTTACCTATCAACTCAATTTTTTTTTCATTTCCCTTCAAAATATATGATCAATTTTACCTCATTTAGCCATGCTGAGCCCAGGAAGCCGGCGTGCAGTTGCTTCGACTTTTTGGTACCGATGGTTTACAGAAAAAATATTTGGACCTTTCAGGAGACAATGGTTTTCCCTCCTCATCGGCTTGCTCATCGGGTGGCTGGCCTTCTCGCCGAAATCTTGGTTAACGCGCGACCTTTCCTCCGCAAGGCCAACTATTGATGTTGCCGACAGAAGCAGTGAGTATTATCTATTTTCAACTGAAACTTTTCTTTAGTTGTTCATCAGACGGCGGAAGGAAAGAGCGCCAGCGACGCGCCCACCAAAAATCGAATATCTCCAGGTGTTTTCTACGTCTAAGTCAATAAGTTTTAGTTTATTTTAGATGCGGCTTGGCCAAAGATTTTCTGTATGATCAACTCCATCCCCGGACATCAATCCCGCCGCAAGGCTGTCAATGTATGCTAAGAACTTACGGGTCTGATCTCCGTTTAGGATACCTGGGTCAAGCATTGTGATGGCCACATTTATGTCAGCACGAAGTTGGACGACACCAAAGAGCCCGCTTCCGAATTCTGGACGTTCAATTTCACGTGAGTCTTTGCTACGAGTTAATCTTTCTTAGAAGCGAAAAGCATGCGATCAACAGTCATATCTGGATCTGGGACCGTCTTCGCGCCTCAATTCGACGCCTTGAAAAGGAAAAGGGGGTGAGTTTCTAGTTTTGAAAGTGTTATTTGTTCTAGAATGAGTACGACTGGTTTCTGAAGGCCGACGATGACACGTTCGCGGTGATTGAAAACCTAAAGGAGGCTCTCAAGGGTCTCAACCCGGATGAGCCGCTCTATATGGGGGCCATGCTGAAATATATGGACCAATCGCTGGCAGTAAGTGTTTTTCTGAGGAGTTGCAAACGTAATTTAGAAACGCCCGAGGGATTTCATCTATCCGAGCGGCGGTTCGGGGTACGTTTTGTCGCGGGGCGGGTTGAAGAAATTCGTCGAAGTCATCAACGAGTCCAATGGGGAAAAGTGCCGCAACACCACTTATTTACACGAAGATACCGAGGTACCGAATTTCAGTTTTTGTGTTTTTGATGGTTGAGTATTCGGGGGGTCGGGGACCAAGCTGTCTTGGCCAGCCTAGTTTTATATAAATAGTGAATGTTGATACATAGTTTTTAACTATTCCCGGCCACAAAATTTTTACAAATTTTGATGACTAGCAATTTATCTTTTGGTAAAAAAATCGGGGTTTCCGACCAAAATTATCAAAATTTCGGCATTTTTAAACAATTTCGAACTGTTTTGTTTTTGGGTTTTGTTGCTTAAAAAGCTAGTGTTTATCTTTTAAAAACATTATAAAAACTTTATTATTTACTTATCAGGCCATCTTGATGCCATAGGAGAAAAGTAGTCACCGCCCCCCCAATACCCAGGAATCGTGTTTTCTAGGTAGGATGGTGTCTGCAAAGCGCGAAAGTGGCCGTGCTGGATTCGGTGGACTTAGATGGAAAGCATAGGTGAGTCGTTCTACACAAGTTTCTAATATTAATCTTTTTACAGGATGCTACCGATTGACGTGATGGACATCATCCACCCAACGCGCGCCGAGAGCCATTCGGATCGTGGATGGGCCCGTCAATCGCTTGTGAAAACTTTGGCCGCGGGTCCAGATTGTTGTTCTCCTCATATTATCACAATTCATTATGTTTCTGATATGTTGATGTATACGTATTATTATCTCGTCTATGATGTCATCGTTCCCGGTCGTCTTTCCGGCGATTAACAGCAAAAACTCTAATAGAGCTTTTCCGTGTGTTTGTGTGATTTTTGTAATATTCTGTGCCATATTGTTTGCGGGTCCATTTTTGCGTTTGTTTTCCTGTGTAAGAATAAACGTATTTTGAGGCAACATCAACATTTATATAAAAACAATGGACATGTATATCTGGCTTAAATGCTTAGGTAGACGTTGGCCTGCTATTGGGTGATGATGATCTTGTTGAAGCGGTCCAGCAGCGTCTCTTCCTAGAGTTGTTTGGGTTATGCCGAAAACGGAATGGATACCATCAGGTCGATGTATGCTCCGGTCTGCACCGACACCCCTTGAATGATGAGGACGATCCGAAACCGGGATTCGGCAATAGAAATGTCGGGTCGCGGCACGGTGAAGCTCGATGTCATTTGGGCATTCGGTTGACGCTGGCTAAAACTTTTATTTAGTAAAGAGCGAAGTCAGTGCAATGGAAAATCCGTGCAAGGCTTGTACTGTTCAACACACCTCGCGACGTTTTCCATAAGATTTCCGTTGACCGAGACAGAGACGTTCTTGAAGGGACCGGTGTACATGAGGGTGCCATCCTCGATTGTGAACTTATGGACTAGGTCGAGGATCGATGTCAGGTATCGTTCGGTGTCGAATTTGATGGCGAATCCAACCTAAACCACTCAGTTTGGCACATAGGAAGGCCTATTACCTCATGAACGGTCATCAACCTCCACTCATCTGCGTCTTGTGCGGCGTCTCCGACCTTGGTCCCCAACAATTGGCTGCCGTCATATTTCAACATGTAGTGGCCGCGGTAGATGATGGTCGGCGTCTCTTCGTATAGATGGGTAGTCGTCTTCCTCTGAAAAAAGAATGTAAAATGGGTCTTTTCGAACCTTGCTTGGGTCTATATAAAAGTTTACTTTTGCTTTCAGGCTTCTTTGCGTTAGCATGAGCTGTCTCATGATGCTGTGCCCATCGCTGGCCGTCGCGTGCGTAGCTGCATTGAGGAAGTGGGCCGGGGCATCTAATTTTTTTTAGTTGCGCCCGACTTATGGAGGGAAGGTACCGTTCTATTGGCATCTTGTTGAGAGAGCCACATTTGATTTCCGTCTGCCCGACCTCATTTTGCCAAAGTCAGAGATCTTGAGCTCGAGCTCCTGGCCCAGGAGACAGTTTCGAGCGGCCAGATCACGATGAAGAACCTAAAAGCCAGTAAGGCGTGATAAGGCGGAGCAGCCGACCCGCAGCTACGAGCCACTTACTTCGTTTCGATGCAAATAGGCCATTCCCGTCGCAGCGTCCGAGCACCAGGCCATCAGCTGGTCGGACGGAACGTCGGGGTTCTTCTCGCAGTAGGCCTGAAAGACCAGAGACATATAATACTCTCTCTCACTCGCTCTCTCTTTCTCTCTCTCGCCCTCTCACTCACTCGCATTCTCCGTCTCCCTCTATCTCCCTCGATACCTGAAGGCCACCGTTTTCGGCCAACTCGATCACCATCATCACCGGCAGTTGTTGCACGGCGACGCCGTAGAAGCGGACGATGTTCCTAGGATTGAGGATCCTGGCGATCCGCGCCTCCTAGAGAAATAATTATCGATCGTCATCACCCAACCGCTACCTTGAGAAAAGCGTGAATTTCCCTCTTTGTCACGTCGCCCTTACACAGTTTGATGGCACAAGGGGTCTCGATTCGACGCTCGGCCCGGAAAGTTCCCTTGACACCTCGCCAAAGTTGCCCTCGCCGATCTTGTTCTTCTTGAAAATGTCGGCGTGGATGAGATAGTATTTCGGGCGGCTGATCTTCTAAACGCGGGGTTCTTTAATCTTTTCGTGTCCGGGGGGTTATTGTATAGGTCCAAAAAACCCTTTCAAAATACAAATAAAAAATACCTTACCGAAAATCAAAAACTGTTTTTCCTTTAGCTTCTTAGTAAAAAATTATGAAGCCAACGAACCGTACAACTATATACTAGAAATATGCAATAAAAAAAATTAGCTGCTAAGGAAAAACATTTGGATTGTGGGTGGTACCTTCATCAGCATGGCGCCGGAAGGCAACTCGTGCCGGTTGTCCTCCAGCATTTCAACTAGCTCGGCAATTGTTTCGTGAGCCCTGGCCCCGACTCTCCATTGCCCAGCCTAAAAATAAAAATCTTGCTTAGAATCAACGGCGTCGATGGTTATTTTGGCCGGAAAATAATAATTTTCGTATTTTTAAGATTTTTGTAACTTTTATGCTTAGGAAAAGGAACAACTTTCGAAAGGATTCCCCTAGTGCTATTAGAAAAGGTTCTTTCGCATTATCGGAGGGAGGGGGTGGGATCAATTGTTTTTTTTTTGTATTAATCTCGAAATGTCAAGTAACTTAATAGGAAGTATTTACGTGATGTTTTTAGTAAAATAAAACTATATTTTAACTTACAAAACTATCTAAAACCTTTGCGAAAATTTTCAAAAAGTCGAAATTTTGGGCAAAACGGCCATTTTTGGTAAAAAAACACGATTTTTTTGCACCTTTTAATCAAAATATAAAGTTTTTACGTTTAGGAATCGCAAAAACAGCCTAGAAACAATTCCGCTATTTATATTTAAAAAATTGGTTAAATTTTCTACCCCCCCCGGAAATGCGAAAGAACCTAGAAAAATCCGATCCGAGGAAAAATCACCGACCGAGCGTGCGATTTCTTCGTGGCGGACGACGCCGGCGTGCATAACACTTATGATAAAGTGGTGCGTGAAGTTGGAGGAGTTGTCGATGGCGGCCCGGGTGGAATAGCGAAGCAGAAAGTCGCCTTCGTTAGTCAGGAGGTGCTGGCATTCGGCACGAGGCATGATGCCGTGGAAATATTTCATAGATTTGCTGAGGAGAGCCGTCATCTTCTGCAAACAAATCACTTGTATCCTTCTGTCGGTTCTCATTCATTAGCGGGGGGAGCTAAACTTTCCAAATTCCAAATTTTACCAATTCTATTTAAAAAAAACAGTTTACCTCGTACATTAGCGCCTCACAGGGGTCGATCATATTGAAATAGGGTTATCTAAACTGGATAAGTCGAAATGGAATACCGCACCCACGAACAATAGCAAATACATTGGGTTGAAACCCATCATAAAGCCAACAAATTGTGCACAAAAATGAATAATTTATACAGGAAATCACAGGTATGATATAAAACATCAAGATAGATTTTCATATCCGTTTCCGCCGTCGGCAATCCGTTTCGGCTTGTCGGTGATGGCAGCAGACGATCCCGCACGCATCGAGTTACTAAGGATATAATAATAGAGGTCCTTTCGCATTATCGAGGAGACCGAATTTTTCCGTATCAGTTCCTAACCTGCTTTTACTATTTCTGATCGTAATGACAACAGAAATTTTTAGTAAAAAATATACAAAAGCGTCGATTTTTCAAAAATGGAATCAAAAACATTTTTCGACGAAAACTTCGCATTGTAACGTTTTTTAATAGTTAGAAACACTCCACTTGAAACTGGTCCGCGTTGCCGATGATAAACAGGGCGGAAATCATCATTCGCCGCAAAGGACACTGATAACTGAAAAAAATATGATGGCGAGCAATTACCGTTTTAGCGGCGTCCCTAGAATCCAAAACTTAGGTGAATACAGCAAAACAAATACCTTGCGTCCTCGTTGCTTTTTCCTCGTGTCATTCTGGGGGTGGTCGGTGCCCACGCCGTCGACACTTCCTGAATAACGGCAAATCACCAAAATCAACCTGAAAACTAAAAAAATATGGCTTTCATCACTTTACCAAAATTTTGGTCAAGGAAATACAACTGCCCGGGCTTAAGACAAAAAGGTTACGGTTTTTTAGTAAGTTTTAACTTTATTAGAAGTAGAGAACCTTCAAAAAAAAAGCGAGAAATGTTTGAAAAAGTCGAGATTTTGGTGATTTTAGGCCGAAAAAATCAGTTGTTTATTCCTCTCCTTGCGAATTCTCAAGAATGAACAAACTTCCTTATAATGGACGGGTCTTGGGGCAGATGAGCAGCTCCTTCGAGCAAGTGACAGCTGGGCGTTGAAAGTTACGCCGGATCTTTCGAGCGGATCCCAGGTTGTCGGCGCCGATCGTCGTGTCGCGAGCATCGCCTGCACAAAAAATCCATGGCTTCCACCACAAAAATCAACCGCGAAAAGTAATCGCAGCGCAAATAGTAATGAAAACACCGGAATCCAACACTTCGAAAAGAAAACACCCACGTTTTTCAAGAAAAAAAGGTTATTAGAGCTACAAATGTCACGGATCATCAAAAATACTGCGCATTGATGTCAATTTTGCATCCAAAACCCTGATTGACATTGTCAAAATGACCTGCGAGCCCACGAAACGATGGATTTCGAAGTGTCTTATCCCCAAAAACCATTACGTACCTGACACGAATGGATCAGCGCCGTCCAACTTGATAGATCCTCCACGTACGTCAGCGGGTCGTCGGTCACGTCGAATTCCTAAACGTTGAAACAAAATATCCCCTTTAGTTGCGAAGAATCGTCCTCGAGCTTCTTCTTGAATAGTTGATGGGCCAGAACTAGAAGTTTACTCAAAAATCATGCAAGAAACGCACCTCGCGCCATGCTCACACATATTGTACCAATGCGTCCGTGCCCAGACATTTTCGGCATGTCATGCGCCGCCGAGTTGACCTGAAAAACTAATTAATTACCCTAAAATAAGTATATTCCCCCCCTCCCCCCGAGTATAGCCCGGGTGAAGCGTACGTAGCGTCCGTAATTACGTATGACCGTAAATAGTGGCGGACAAAAGTTTCCAACATTTTGTTTTTTGGCTACGTCTCGCTTATTTAGTCTGGAAGGGTTCTCGGATCCATTGTACCATTCGGCGTGCTTTATTATCTGAAAGAAGCGTAATTCGATGACAAAAGTTTCCAACATTTTTCTTTGAAGGCCCCGGCACAATGAATGGCGGCCTCTAAAGTGGTAATATGGATACCAAATCGTCCAATAGGATTGTATTTCTCTTTTCTCGATTGCAGATTAATTCCTACAGCTCTGCGGAATTTTTTATAAAAGTCGATTTTTATATGGGAATCCCACATTTTGGCTTCTAATTCTCCAAATCTTAATTTTTGTTTCGATAACGTTATACGGTCTGAAAGGGCACTGAAAGGCGAACATTTTGATATATCCGTGCCTGCGTGGAATACCGTGGGAACTGTCCAAGACGACGATCACCAATCCGTTCAACTGACAGCGCAAAGCGCGCCTCCGATCGTTCTGGACATTGACTCGAAGAAAATATCATAATTTTTGTGTCGTGGATTCGCTAATGAAAGGCCGCGATGTGTCGAAGCTTATTGTAATGATTCTTGCAAAGCGCTCTTCGATTATACAATTTCTTTATCAAATGTCGGAAAGCACTATCGGTAAAGTGTCGAGTCCAGAGTCGAGAAAATATGATAGACGATTCAACAAAAAAATAATGGAAAATTGTTTAGGATAAGTGGATAACTAGGTATTTATTAAATCACAAATCTTATTAAGGAATCCCATAATGGATTGGAGGGAAAAATAATAAAATAATGATCGAAAGAAGGGGAAAAGAAAGGGGGGGGGGGGGGGGAAGAGAAAACCCGTATTAATGACCCCGAAATGAAGCACAAAATGAGTGGAGGAGGACGAAGAGGAGAATGAGTATTTAGGCGATAGCTGGTGTCGTGTCACGAATTGATGGAGCTCGGAATATGATGAGACCCGTGCCAATTGCGCATGCTAGGGTGAATAGCAATAGAAACACACGGTCCAACACCACCGACACGTATTTCCAATCTTCCACCACCTGAAAATGATATTTTTAAAGCGACTGGGAAGTCAAAATTCGCTTATTAATTCTCTAGGCATTATCGGGGGGGGGGAGGCTAACTTCTGATTTAAGTCTAGAAATTTCTAGTAAATTATTATAAAGATTATTAATAGTGTTTTTCGCAAAATAAAATTGTATTTTAGCGTAAAAAAATTACTTGAAAACGTTAAAATAGCGTTGAAAACGTCGAAATTTTGGACAAAATGGGCTATTTTTCGTTATGGGCTGCGTAATAGGCTAACGACGGCGCTTTTATCGGTTACATGCCGTAATGGGTTCTACGCGACCTGCTTGTCCTCTTGCTCGTTTTTCAGCGAATCGGCAATGTAGGCGACACTTTCGACCGCGCTCCGTACCGGGCTGATTTCGCGTTGCCTGGAATTTTTGTTTTGTTTTAAAAGGTGGAATTCCTTGTTGGTAAGAGTATAAATACATAAAAAGCGTAATTAATTAAAATCTTTGTCGATTTTTGATGCACTTTTGATTGGCGTCCAAGACACACGAAATCAAAAAAAACTCACCTAGGTAATGAAAACGAAGCGCGTTCGTTTGAGCTGGTCCGTCGCTGTGCATTTGGTGACAGGAAATCCATCTGAAAACCCCGGATAGTAATTAGAAAATCAGGTTCTTTGGCATTATCGGGGGGGGGTCGCAATTTTTTTTTGTACGGGTTTAGAAATGCCCAGTAAATTAATAGGACGAATTTTAATAATGTATTTCGTAAAACAACGAGAAAATCTGTTTGAAGTCTATAAAAAATTAGAAATTTCTGTCAAAAATGGTCATCATTAGCCGAAAAATTAATATTTTTGTATTTTGTAATCAAAATTTATAAAGTTTTTACGTTTCGGAACGGTAAAAAAAGACTAAGGAAACAACCCTTAGAAAAACGTTTTTTTTAATTCTTTGTCAAAAATTTTTTGAAGTTCTCGTAAAATATGGGTTTGTTGTACGAAAAACATGATTAAAATGTTTCCTATTAAGTTACTGGTGATTTCTAGGCTCATACAAAAACTTCCGCTTACCACCCCCCCGATAACGCGAAAGAACCGAAAATCAGGGAAACCGGAAATACCTGATCAAACATGGCGCTCGTATAATGGTTCTGGCCGCCGACGCTGAAATTCGAGACCTGCGACGGCTTCTTTAGGTTCTGGAAATAAATGAAGCAAAGTATAGCATAATTTACCGGAACGTTTCCGTTGCTTTTTGGGGCCATTTTTGGTGCGGGCACGGGCCGTTGCATGAAGAGGAGTTTGGGCAGGAACTGAAATGGCCTCTTGGGCACATAGATGGGAGCACAACGGGGTGGCTGATCTGGCGCAGATCCCCCAATGATCTCTGCAAGTCACCATCCCTACTCACCTCGATGAACACCTTCTTCACCCATCGTGGCATCGTGTGCGTGGCTGGCGATCGGTAAAACACATTCTGAAAAGCGCTGATTGCGGCTGGTTGATTATTTCTTAGGTTATTACTATTCCTAAACATAAAAACTTTATCAAACTTTATCATATCAACAAATATTTATTAAAAACTATCAAAAATATAGATTTCTCGACCAAAAGTTCGGCTTTTTCAAAGCAAAAAAAGCATTGCGCAGCGCCCGGATTTATATGGCGTGTTCGATTCAACCCAATTTTCAAATTTTATATATTTTAGCCCTCATAGGTTCGAAAATTTTCTCGACAAACCTTTTGCCTCTTTCTAAAAAAGAAAAATATAAGCAAAAATAATACATAGTTCTCTGCGTGGATTTAACGATACCGTCAGAAACCTACCAGCGTGACCACGGTGACAACGACGGACAGCGTGACGAGCACCATCGTGAACAGCAAGTACTTTCCGATGAGTGGGATCACCAGCGAGGTCGACGGAATGATTTCGACTAAAGAAATAAAGGAGAAAAGTCTAAAACGCACCCAACAACAAGAAGAACACGGTCAACGAGATCAGAATCGAGATACAGAGCGAAATCTTCTCGCCGCCATTTGATGGTAGGTAGAAGACGAGGGCCGTCAGGAAACTGAAACGATTTTTGCGAGTTTTCGCCGCGCTCTTTGCTTTACAAAAAAGCCTATTCTAGAAGAATTTCCCAAATATATGTAGTTAGTATTCATTAAAATAACATTCTAGGCGGAGGTGCATTATCGGGGGGGGGGGGGACCATTCTTGTGTAAGCTTAGAAATCTCTGCTAACTAAATAGGAATCTTTTAATATTAATTCTAGTAAAAGATCGCTATATTTCAACTAGGAGAATTATCTACAAACTTTAAAAATTTGCGGAAAAACCAAAATTTTCGTAAAAAATCTTTTTTATATGGTTTAATAAAAAATTTGTAACGTTTTCATGATCATAAATTATAAAAAAAAGTCTTCACGTTTAGGAATAGTAAACAAATCTAGTAAATAAATTAAAGTCTTTTAATTGCGTTTTCGGTAATATATATTCCAAATAGAAAAACCATCTAAATATTTTAAAATATTTAAAAAGTCAAAATTTAGCAAAAGTCGGCCATTTTTAGGTTAATCTATATTTCTGCCATTTTCAATAAAAATTTGTAAAGTTTTCGCGTTTAAGAATAGTAAAAATCGTTTCGAAACGCTTCCACTATTCGCAGTCGAAAAATTTGATCCTAATGAAAACGTTAACAAATAAAATTGTCTACCTGATACCAACGGATGGGATCATCAAATTGACCGTGTAGAAAAGGGTCTTCCGCCGCAGCTTGATCTCATAGGTGATGTCGATGAAAGGGCTCTCACAGCACGGATACCTCAAGAACAATTTTTTTTAAGGCTCGAACACCTTACCGCTTTTCGTGGCGCATTCCGGGTACAGATAGAATATCCCATTCCACCGAGGGATAGTAGTCGCTCAGATCGATGCCTAGAACAAGAAAATGATCGGAAATAAATTAGAAAAGGTTTATTGATCGTCATCAGGGACCAAAAAATGTTTTAATTATATAAACACAAAATGTGATAACGATAGTCCCCCGATAATGATCTAGCACTTGAAAAGAATTTCTATTAAAAAAGCGATCAAGGTAAGCAGTTACTGACCATCCTTGACGACCAAAATCGGCTCTTCATGCGTCCCGTCGATGCCTTCGACAGTCTCGAATTCCGAGACGACATTCTCATCCCGGTGCTGTAGGTCGACCTCCAGCCCGCCGTACGTCCAGGAACCTGGAAGAAAATATTCTCCTTTTTGAAGTTTGGAAAAGCTCTCTGGGAAACGTCGAACTGTTCACTTTCCGACATTAAATGTAGAAAAAATTACTAAAAATTGGTTTTTATGGCGAATAATGGATTTGGCGCCGAAAGCAGCCAATTTTCTTCAATATTTCTCAATTTTCAAAAAATTTGCGCGCTGTAATAAGTAAGTTTAACCAAAATACATTATGAGATCGAAAATCCACTCACCGAATTTCATCTCGCAGACCTGTTGATCGAACGGGAAGAATTCGACGTTGATTGGGCACATACTAAATAACGGAATTCGAAAACGGATGATAAATATTATAGCGTGTCTGGTTTAAACCTAAGCGTCCCTTTTATCTTGTAAGAGCGGACGCTACCTTTTATATAGTATTTTTCATTTCGTCGAAATCGTTTTGTCGACATTTCTTTCTGTCGGAATGTCTTTTTGTCGAAAATTTTAGCAAATTAACATTTGCGTTGAATTATGGACTCAATTGATTTGCGTGAATTCATTTCGACAAAATGAATTCGATAATATAAAAGTAAATAACCTTTTATATATAGCCGGTGGTGCCCATTCGACGGTCCCGTTATAATTCAACTTGGCCTTGGTCATAATTGAGACCTGGTAGTTGCCGTCAGCGCTAAAAAAAAACGAATTATTTTTCTAGAAACAACATCAACCTACTTATTATACAACACGATATCGGGCAGCCAGATCATATCGGAGGGCACGTAGAGCACTTCGACACCGCCGTACTCGGCCGGGTCCCAGTGCAATTTGTAGTCTTCCCAACTCTGAAAATAGACGGTGAATGCCGAGATAAAAGGCTCACGTGTTGAAGCCACACATTTGTCGTCATGATCTGGTTCTTCTCGTGCTGAAAAAGGCGAATTTTCAACTTTTGGCTGTTGGCGTGTGTTTTCTAGTTAGTACACTGACTAAAAAAAGACCTAAACGAGCTAAAATTTTTTTTATTTTTGCATGTCTTATAGGCGCGTAGTATTAACTATTTCATATTTATTAGCGTTTTTCGCCGCTTCATAACTGTAAAAACATTGTAAAAAGTTTATAAAATCTGAAAATAAAACTTTCTATGCTTTTTCATGCCTAAAATTATCATAAGCTATAAAGCCTCGATTTAAGTGATTTAAATGGTTTGGGATTAGTGTGATTCCGCGCCGCGACCTTTATTAATTATTTGCGTGTATTTTGGCATCCGGGATCTTGTTTTTCACCCCCTCTAATCGGCTTTCGATTTACGGATTCTTTCACATTATTATCGGGGGGGTGGATTTTTTGTGTAAGTATAGAAATGTCTAGTCGCTTAATAGGAAGTATTTTAACAGTGTTTTTGGCCAATCAAACTGTATTTCAAATCGGAAAAACTTTTAAAACCTGCGAAATTTTTCGAAAATTACAAATTATGGTCGAAAAATTGGCATTTTTTGTGTATTTTTTATAGCGATTTGTAAAGTTTTTCCCTTCTGGATTAGTAAAAAATGGCTTAGAAACACGTCCGCTTATTGGATGCCAAGGGAAAAAGGTTGGCCCCCCCGATTCAAATTTTAGAAGCTGCTGCTCCTCGGAAAATTCGGGTCCCCCGGCCTATTTTGTGACTAAAGGCAGATCGTATCGTTTGGATGGCCGGGGTGAAAAGATGGGTGGATGGAAAGAGGAGGAGGAGGTGGACATAACGATGATTGACGGCATTCCCCCCTTTAGCCACCGATCATCATACATGCGGTCGAGGGGCGCCAATTGGTCTCTCAGCCCCCCTCAGAGATGAAGCCCCGGTTGGCTGCTTTCGTTTGGGAAACGGCAACATCTTTCACAGCCTATCAAATCACCCAAAAACGGCGATATGTTGTAGTTAGGATACTTTGCCTTTAGCGGGGAGGGGGAACAAATCTTTTTCTTAGGGCCGCAAATTTTCAAATATAAATCGTGGAAGTGTTGCTAAACTGTTGTTACCATTCCTAGACGCAAAAATTGTACAAATTTGTATAAAAAAATCGAAAAATGCAATTTTTCGACCAAAAACGGACAATTTTTACTAAAATTTCGACTTTTCCAAATTCACTAAAGTTTGAAGCTAGTTTTTCTAGTTAAAGTATATTTTAATGAGCTTTTTACATCCAAAAACTGCGTAAAATTCTATAGAAACAAGAAAAATAGCGTAATTAACAAAGCACGTACCACGTCGAGCAGCTGCGACAGCTTCAGCTTGAACCGCACCGTCAGCGTGGCCGTGTTGTTCTCCACGGGGCGAACTGGAAAGCGAAAATAATAACATTAATATAAAATAATATTATACGTAGATATAGTCAATAAGAACATGATTTTAGAGAATATTAAATCGAACCTAATTTGTTATAGTCGGCGAGCAGATCCTCGAAGAGCCGATTTGCGTGTTGATTTCCCGAGACACACGACGACGCCAACAGCAGCTGCACGAACAGCGTCCACAACGAGAGCACGGCGGGCTGCAAAGTAAGATTATATAAATATTATCTTGTTTTAAAGACGTTTTTACCATTCCTAAACGTACAAACCTTGAAAAACTTTAAAACCTTTTAAAAATCGCAAAAACATCGATTTTTCCAAAATTTCGATATTTCAAACAGTTGTTAAAGTTTTTAGATAGTTTTTACTAGCTGAAATATAATCTCTCTTAGGAAAAACGCTATTAAAACACTTCCTAGTAAGTTATTTAGCATTTTTAGACTCATACAAAAAAGTTCCATCACCCCCCCGATAATAAAAAGCACCGATTTTTTTAAGCTGCTTAATAAAGAAGATACACCACAAAAGTTTAGAAGATTTCATAGAAATCCGTACCTTGAGTGGAAATGGGTTGTGGGCGGAACTCAGCGCGCCGCCGTGCATCCCAGAAGACGCATCCAGGGGGCGAGGCGCTGGAATTGAATAATTTTTAATGTATAAACTCGAATTTAGAATTATTAAAGGTACAAGAGACCCCGGGATCGACCCTCACGAACACTACGTGTCGACAACACCAAGTAACCCAAAAAACGCGCTGCAATTTTGAGGCCCCGCGTAGCTGTCGACAGCCAGTAAACGTTAGGGTCGATTCTTGGGTGACCTAGCCCCTTTCAAAAACTGCCCGGAAAACCGCGGCGCACGTTTTTTCCGAACGCACATTTTTCGAGTGTCATTTGTATTGGTACGTCGCCGCGCTCGCAACACGCAACGCAAATAAATAAAAACCGGAAGGCGGCAAAACTTTGCGCGCGTTGAGTGTCGCAGGGACGTATATATAAAACTATATAACAAAAACTATAGCATAAACTAAAATATAGCCCAAATCAACCCGAAATAACCAGCCGAACAAACCTGTTTATCCGCGAGGCGGAGGGCGGATGCCGATTCCGGGGATGGTCATCCAGATTGGCTGTCGAACGAACAGCGCACGGGCGTAACGTCTGAAAATGGAGAGTTAGAAAAAGTTAGAAAGAAATATAGTATAATTTAATCGGAAAAAAATAATAGAAGAATCAATAATCCGGCTCTAAAAAGTTTGAAAACATAGAAACGCACCGAATTTTCAGGAAAAGTATAGGGCTTGTGTTTTTGAAAGAGCAATTGGGATCAGAAGAGGTAGTAAAAATAGAAAATGTAATAAAAACTTATAATAAACGAATAAAAGTACATAAAATTCGATAGAAGCGGGTAAATGGCGAGGTCCAAGATTTGATTGGCGTGGCGGGGGAGAACGGGTTGGCCAAACGTCTCGAAGGCGACCAAAAAAAAGCAAAAAGCCCCCCTCTTTTCAAAAAAATAGAGATAGAGAGAGAGAGAGAGAGAGAGAGAGGAGAGAGAGAGAGAGAGAGAGAGAGAGAGAGAGCACGATAGATAGAGGGAACACGGCCAAAAGGCGAGCTTCTGCTTTGCAATGTGAATATCCCTAGGGGGACCACATCCCAACGAGAGGACCTTCCCCGTCTTTTCTTTTTCTTCTTTTTTCGACGTGTGGGAACATTCAAACAAAGTGACAACTCGTCTCCACCAAACACCCAAACGCCATTCCTTTTCTCGGGACGATCGAACGCGCAGAGTCGGCTTTCAAAAGTTCGTCTTGGTCTTCAAAAACAATGGAAAATTTTCTAGGGGAAAGCTGGGAGTTTCGGGATAAAGCTTAAAATTTGTTATGAAGCAGAAACAATAATACATTAATAGAAAAACCTGGAATCTTGAAAAAAAATCCGCTCGGAGAGTTTTAAACTTAATCGAACCGCGGTCCTTTCGCCAGATCAGGGGATACATTTTTTCTTAGGATTCAATTATTCAATATAAATAGCGGATGTGTTTGTAAAAAGTTTTTTCTATTGCTAAACCTAAACGTTACAAATTTTTGTCACAAAATATCAAAAATATCGTTTGTCGACCGGAAATTGCCGATTTCGACTTTTTCGAAGATTCAAAAAAAGTTTTCTATAGTTGAAATACAATCATATTTGACTAAAAAAAGCTATTAAAACACTTCCTATTAAGTTACTGGGCATTTCTAGAATTATACAAAAAAATCTTGCCCCCCGAAAATGCTAAAGAACCAAGAGTAATTTAGTGTAATGCGCGAAGCAGGACAAATTGACCTCGGCGAAATCGTCGAGCAAAGCAAGCAAAAAGTGGCTGCAAGGGGCAAAAATAAGGAGAAGCAAACTTCAGTCTACTCCAAGAACAAAGATTGGCCCAGCCGCCGAAATTAACAATGGGCGAAAATGGCGTGGCTAGAATTGAACGCGCAAAGAAAAAAGAACAAAAGTTGGTCAAAAAAGGAAGAAAAAGGAAGAAAAAGAAGAAAGCAAAGGTGTAGCCAGGGGCCATGGGCCATCCATGGCATCTAGCTGGGGGCCCAGTGGCCCAAAAAGGGGGGCCCCGTGAGCGCGCCATAATTCCAGAAAGAATAGCCCGTGTGGGTCCGGCTTATTCTTCTTGTTCTTTTCTGCTGTTCTCCACCCCCTGCTCCTCCTCTTCCTCTTGCTCCTCCTCCTCCTTCCCCTCCTCCTCCTCCTGCTCCCCCCTCTAATCCTTGGGCATTATTCAGCAGTGTAGACCAGAGCGCCTCGCTTCAACCTCCCGTCCCAAAGAAAAGTCAGCCCTATCGTTCCGTTGAATCTTTTTTGGAAATGGGCCCCCTGAAAGTTGCCAACTTCCGGTGAGGCGAATTTCGAGTGGAGAAGAAGCCAAGCGCTGGCCTAAAAGCGCTCCTTGATTTAGCTACTTTTTGTTAGCCCGTTTTGTCAACCAGCGGGAAAAAAATTTAGAATCGGTACTTTGGCATTATCGGGGGGGCTATCGGAAGGCCTTCCGGTCCCTTAGAAATTCAAAAAAAAAGAAGAATAGCTTTTCCGGTGCTTTGGCATTATCGGGGGGAGGCTATCGGGGCGGCCAACTTTTTCACGTATCTCCCATCACTTCACTTACTTATCACTTTTCATCTAATTTGCTTTTTCACTCTAAAAACACATACTATTAGGCTACTAGGCATTTCTGGACTTTTAGAAAAAGGCTAAAGATGGTGAAGAACCGGATAAACCGTTTTCACCAGAAGCCTGAAATTTACAGTAAAGTGTTCTCCGAAATGATACCAAGCCCAGCATGTGCAGAATTTTGCGCAGATTCCGAATACGTTCACCAAATTTGCAGAATCGCAATTTTCCGCAAGGTTCCGAACTATTTAAGTTATGGAAAACCATAGAAAGTACTCATTTTGGGAGCTTCTCGGAATTAGGCCGTTCATAACTTTTGCAAAATTACGTTTCCGCAAATTTGGTAAGCATATTCGGAAAAAGCGTACAATTCTGCACAAGATCACAATGAAACACACATGAAAATGCGACCACCTGAAAAACGTCTCTTTTTGAGCAAAAAGCAAAAATGTGGAAGTGGAAGCCAAAAAACTAGAGAAAGCCAAAAAAGCTGGGCATATAGCGGAGCGGCAGCCAGCTCGTTGCAATATGATCCGGATTATATTAATAATTAATAAATTGTTGCACTATTTTTTGTAATACCGCCAGGTTTTGAAGTTTTATTGGCTTCAAAGCAGCTATTTTTAGCGTTGAAACGATACAGTTTTTCTCCTACGAAAACAAAGGGTTTTCGGTACTTTGGCATTATCCGGGGGCGGGGGATCATCCGGGCAAAACCGACTTTTTTAGCATCTGATTGCTCTAAAGTCAATGGAGAAGGTTTTTCTACTCCTTTTTTACTATTCCTAAAAGCAAAAACCACAATTTGTAACAAAAAATACAAAAAAATTCCGTCATTTGTAAGGTAACGGAAAATTAGAAAGGCGAGAAATGGCGGCGGAAAAGTGAGAACTAGGCACGTTCTAGGCGGGGTGAACGGGGAGGCCCACTGAAAAAGAGGAAGAGCAAGAGATGGAAAGACAGCGAGGGCAGGTTGGGCCCCTCTTGCTCACTGGCTGGGACTCCCCTTCCTTCGCTTCGTCGTAAAGCGGCATCGATCCGATCTCGTTGGAAAGGGGAGTTTGAGCCCCCGGGGAAGGCCCTGATCATATCCGCTCAAACTATGTGCTGTGGGTAGAATTAGGGCAGACTGGCAGAGACCATTTGTGGAGGGCCAGAACGTCGACAGTTCAAAATATGCCGAAAGTCAAAATGTCCTGATTGTTTGAGGCGAAGGGGAAGAGTCCCAGCTACGAATTCCGACGGCCTAAATTATCGCGATTCACAATGCCGACAAGCTTAAAATTCCGATAGAAAATGCCGATGCCCGGAACGCCGACAGTTCAAAGGGCCAAAATTGGGAGCGCCGCCGACCTCTGAAATACCGACAGTAATACCGACGGCCGAAACACCAGGAAAAAAAAACGGAAATTCCGGGTTTACGATTTCAACAAACCAAAATATCGAAAGCCGAAATACTCATAGAAAAATGCCGACGCTCAGAACTCGGACAGCCTGGGTGTAGATAGCAGACAATGCGTCAGAAAAATGACGATACAGACAGAAGAATGCCGACAATGCAGATGGCCGAAATCAGACCGAAAGCCTAAATGCGGACGTCAGAATACCGCCGAAAAAAAAAATTCTAAACTATCAGCTCGGCATTTCGCCCATCTAGCAGAGGCCATTAAGGAAAGTTCCTCCCCATTTGGAGTCGATGGCCCGGCTGAATTTCGTTGAAATAAGACGAGTTGTGTGTTTCGAGGAGTGGTGCGTAGGGGGAGAAGGTCGAAAGGGGGAAACGAAATTACGGGGCGGAGGAAAGAAGGAAAAGAAGTTGAAGAGAAGAGAAGAGCTAGAGAAGGGACTGATGTGCCTTGAGGGCACATTTCGAGAGGAAGTATCTCTAGCCCCCACACTCACTTCACGATAGAAGGGCACCAACACTACTACTCAATCTGTCGGATGGGAGCGAGAGAGAGAGAGAGCGAGAGAGTGAGATAAAGCGGGAGAGGGGGAGAGACTGATAGAGAGAGAGGGAGAGATAGTGATAGAGCTAGCGATAGAGCCCGCGCAAGAGAGCGAGAGTTCTTGATAGAACGAGAGAGAGAGAGAGAGAGAGAGAGAGAGGGAGTGAGAGTGAGATATAGCACGAGAGAATGAGCTAGTAGTGATAGCGTGCGAGAGACAGAGAGAGCGAGATATAGAGCACGAGAGAGAGAGAGAGCAAGAGTTCGTGATAGAGCACGACAGAGAGGGCGAAAGCTAGTGATAGAGCAGTAGAGAGTTAGTGATAGAGCACGAGAGAGAGAGCCAGCTAGTGATAAAGCACGAGAAAGGTAGCGAAAAAGCACGAGAGATTGACAGACAGAGACAGAGAGAGAGAGACACACACCAGGAGAAGCGGCAGAAGAGGCAGCTTTCATGATTCTCTAAGAATCACTGCTAGATGGCCTA